AGCATCAATGTAACAATGCTGAGACCTTCTCGTGCTACCTCTTCTGTTCCACAGTTTTGTGCTGTGCAGAAATATAAAAAATACATTCTAGTAAGAAATAATTTAGTAAATGTTGACTACTTCTACAGATAGATTTCCATTTGACAAGATTGGAAATGCAGTATACAGCAGACAGTTTACATTTTAGACTTACATGATCTGAACTTTGGGGTGCTAGTCATATGTATAGAGGAAGAAAGATGTTGCATGTAAAAATGATTTACTGTCACAGTAGCACAGGCTACAGAAATGTAGCCAAGAGTGTTTTACCTTATTTTCAGTTAGCAAATAATCAGGATTTTTTTTTTCAATTATACTGACTTCCATATGTTTATTTCACTAATGGTATTCAGGTGCAGCTATTTCCCTTTCTGCATTTGCAGTGTAGGTTAATACAAGCTGATAAGAGTCATTCCTCTTTATACAGACTGGCTTGGGTAAGTGGACAAGGCACTGAGTGATAACTTTCTATTCACAGAAAGGCCTGCCTACTTTGAGAATTTCTGTTCTGGTTGGAGAAGTCCTTGACAATCAGCTTTATTTTTAAAGCTATTTAAATAGTACTTTTGTGTATCTCTGCTTGCTGGGGAAAGTGTGCTAGCTAGCAACACAGAAGTACACAGTTGGTATCTCACATAAACAGCTTACTCAACTGATCCAGGTACAGTGACATGGATAGAGATGAAGAAAACTACTATGGAAAACATGGTAATTTACTTGCTTTCTTAGACCAATTCAAAACACCTGATCTAAATCTCACATATTTCAACTGTGTTATTTCAGTTGACTTAAATGGGCTTGAATGCAGACTCAAATGGTTTCCTGTAACTTCTTCAATTATTAGCAATATTCTAATTTTTTCCTGCATGTCATTTGCTAGTATATTTAAATTGCACATCAAAGGTAAGTTTTATATATGTATGTTGTTGATTTTTATTTTAGGTAAGTAATTTAGAGTTGCTTTTTAAAAATCATTACAGTGATAAAGTGTAACAATTAACTTCATATGCTGTTTGGAGTCAGAATTTGTAAATACCTTGTGAGTTATTTCTAGTAATGATATTTTACTTCAACTTACACAAGTTTCATAAGGCAGACTGTAAAATAGATCTGTCTCATCTGCAAAGAACAAACATCATACCAGTTTTTAATCTTAGTAAAAGGTGTAAGTCCCCTCTCACCACTGCTTTCTTCCTTATGCTTACCAAACTCCTAAAACTTGGAATTTGCTTTCTAAATATATTTGGGCTTTTATAGCTGGGGAAGTGGTTTGCTTTTACCAGGAGCAATGTAGATACTAGAAACGTAAATAATTCCCACCTCACCTCCCAAAAAAATCTTCTGAATTTTTAAAGAATAATAGTAATAAAGTAGGGAATTTGAATTTAATTTAGAATTGAGTTAGAAAAATTAGATTAAACAAATGGCTTTTTTTTTTTCTGTTGTTCCATGAAACTGATCACAGTTGTGACCAGTTGTAATGAGTATTCCAGGGATCCAGATTACTTCTGACAGTGAATTCTAGTGTGTTTTGAACTTAGAATGTTGTTACTGTTTCTTACCATATTCTGTAATGAATTTATACCAAGAGCTCAGTGATAGAGGAGGTAGTTTGAGCCATGTTGCCCTACACCATGCCACCATAAGCATACAGACTGCTGGTGTGAGGAACAGTTCTTGGAAGGAGTTTGCAGTACTGCAATAATTTTATAGCTGTTAGTGGCTATTACTTCTATTTCACAGCATCTGTCTTCTTGTTGAAGATGAGACTCTCCATTTGAATTAGAGCTCCTTTTCTGTAGTGCTTTGTTTTTATCCTCTTATTTACTAGGTCCATTCGGCTGTCTGTGTGCTGAGATGTTACGTTTTCATGTTCTCTTCCCAAGTGGTATTTGTATAATCCTTTCTTAAAAACTAAATGTGATGAAAATTCCAGTGTGTGTTTCAGTATATAATTGTGTCCTGAAAGATTTCCTAATGCCTAATCTAAACCATCCTTGCTGCAAATGAGGTTAGCTTATCTAACTGGTAGAGGAAACAGAACTACTGATTGTTGTAAATTTTGTATGGTAATTGAAGACTGTTATTTTGTGCTCCTTTGCTTAATCACAGGCATTGAAGTTGCATTCATTTACTGCTTTCTGTAAACCTCCTAGTATCTTCTTTGTAATAAGTCCCTCTACTCTCTCCAATTTGTTTGTATCTTCTGAAATTCTAGTGCCATGATCTAGAAATAGTTATTCATTTGAGGCCTCACATGTACAAGCACAAGGAAGAGTGACTTTTTCAATCATGCTCTTGAAAGAGCATGTCTTGAAAGAGTGGTGCTTTTTTTGAAGACATTGCTTGACTGATTCATTCTCTCTTTGTAGAGTGCTGTAATCCTTTAGGATTCTTCTCAACAGTGTTTTTGGAATCAGTTGTTCTGTATGGATTCCTGAATAGAGTTTGTCTTTACAACTTTTGTTACTTTACAAAAATAACTTTGAAGAGTTGTTTATCAAAATCCTTTTTGATAAATACTTCTGTCTCCAGAAGTATTTTAACAGTTGTCACCTGCACCATTTTGAAGTGTTCATTCTGCTTAATTGTTCTAATTTTTAAGGAGAACATGAATAGCTTTTAATAATAGGCTCCTCCAGTAGTGGGATTGAGCTAACTACTAAAATTCAAGAGTGAGAATTGAGAGCCTTAACGGGTGACTCAGTAAAAATGTTTGCCCATAAAAGCAAGTAGACTGTTAGAATTGTTAGGAATAGACTGAAGTCAGATAGAAAGAGTCATTATAGGATTATATAAATTGCGTCCAATATATGTGATGAATATCCTGTGCTGTTCCGGCCCCCCCTTTTCTGGTGATCTGTAGTAGCACTGTAAAGGGTTAGGAAAGGAATATAAGCATGACCAAAACTATGAAATGACTTATGTACGAGAAACATTTGGGCGGACTAGGACATTTGAGTATAATAATTTGTAACATTTTTGTTAACATAGCATACTGCCATGTTACACAATATAGTAATAAACGGATTGACTGCAAGCTTAAAATAGATAAAAGGAGGTAGTACTTCAGTGTTTGATTAACTTGTAGTACTCTGTGATGTAGAGCATTGCAAATTTTTAAAGTATATGCAAGGTAAATAGAGATTCCTTGGATCTCAATTTTTTAATGAATGAAAAAGAAGTTCACTCACAGTTATTCAATGCAAAGTCAGTACTTTTAGTTAAGAAAAATGCAGTTGAAAGTCTCTGTAATATCAGTGTTGGGGAAATACTACAGTGTTTGCCTTGGTGTTGCATTCCTCCTCACATATGGCCCCTTATAAGATTCAGAGTGCAGGTTTGGTGAATTTTTTTGTTTGATGTGGTGTGGCTGTTCTCATGTGCTCAACAGGTCCTGGATGAGCAAAGAACAGAAGTTCAACTTCTGTGTGCCTTAAGGCCAGAACTTCTCCATAGGGCGTGATGTTACATATGGTTTTGTTCTGGTGGTAAATTATTTTGTAGTAGAAATTTCTGTTCAAAAAGGTTCATTCAATATACAGGTGTTGGCCCAACATTAGGTATTGTGTATGGTACATTTGCTTTCCTGACCATGTATCAGAGCATAGCTTCTTCCACTCGCCAGCACTGCTGCCATACATCTCTTCTCTAAAGTTTTAATTTTTCAGTCTGTTCTGTGTTAAGATATTTTTGTTGCCAGAACTTGCTAAGGTGGATCTGAATACCTCAGATGAAGGGCAAATAGGACTGCTGTGTTTATTGTACTGGCGTGTGTGTATTTTGATAAGGTTTTTCTGATACAAGCCAAGAACAAAGTCTGGCATGTAGTTAATAAACAAAATCTGCTTTGAGAAGTTGCTGGATTGTTCTCTAATTTACAAAAATAAATATTTTTCTTTGGGACCCAGAGAGGAAATTTTGGCTAGTAGCACCATGTAATATTAGGGATATTCAGAGGAGGAGATCCTTAAGAAAGCAGTGAAGAAGCACTCTGAAGGAGTAATTTGTATTGTAGCTTTGACATTTGAATGAAGGAGTAATTTTTCATTGCACAGAGTTTTGTTCAGTAAATCTTCATAGTCACTGACTTTGTAAAGAAAAAGTCCCCTACAGCTGAATAGCTAGCTTTAAAAAGAAAAATCCAAATTCTGGTCTGCTGAATGAAAAGCTGCTTGTTTCTCTTCATACAGTAGCCAAAACTTAAAAATTTTAATTTGACCATTATTTTTTATTGCTCTTTACCAAGTGAGATCATACTTTAATTTTTCTTATTCAGGTCCACATTAGAAGCACAGGTTGGTGGATTAGTATTTGGTAGGTTTTTAATATAGTTTTTTTTTTTATGTGTAGAGTAAATCAGTTGGAACTGTGCTAACCAGGATAGCCACATGAAAAACAGATTGCCCATGGAGGCTGTGGATGCCCCAACCCTTGCAGTGTTCAAGGGGAGGTTGGATGGGGCTCTGAGCAGCCTGGTCTGGGAGGAGGTGTCCCTGCCCATGGCAGGAGGCGTTGGTACTAGATTATATTTAAGGCCCCTTGTGACCCTTTAACATTCTATGATTTGGGAGAAAAATCAGAAACTCCTAGCCTGTAACTGCAGAAAGGTGGGTTCATTTACTCGCTGTCAGACACACTTAGCCTGTGACTGAGAGGCATGATCCTTGTCTCTATGTTGTGAACCTGTGCATAGACATAATCATAGGATGTACATTAAAGTTAATTTATTATGTTGTAAATGTGAGGTGCTCAATATTTTTAAGTTAGAAGGAAAAAAGCTTTAATCTCATACAAAAACTAGGTAATTTTATTGGGGAATTACTGGTATTGCCCATATGAAATGATTTTAACAAAACTGATTAAATATTGATATATGGAAGATGCTCTTCAAAGGCTGGATTTAAAAGATTTTATTTTAAATAAGGACATGCTTTTATACTGTTTTATTTTAAATGCAGGTGAACCAAGGAAGTTTGACCCAAAGTTCAGAGGACCTATTCATAACAGGTAAATATCATAGCTCTGTTAAATCCTTTTTGTGAACAGGAGTTAAAATTTTTTTGTTAGCAAAACTTGTGAATTTGATTCTGCAAGTCTTCTACTTCCAGACCACTGTCTTTAATACCCTCGAGGATGGATGATTACTAAGGAGTATTAAACTGTATTCTCTTAAGTCCTTTTAGTTTGAATGCCAATTCTGTGTGCCTTGCAGTGGCTAGTATCTGCCGTCTAACATGTGTAGTGGTTCTGATGCACCTCTTTGTGACAGAGCCTCCTACCAGAACAGGCTGTCTTGACTTCACTTAGTTTTATGAAATGCAGATGAAAGCATGTTACCACTTAGAAGGTTCGTTAGTTTACAAGTAGAGTGAAATTGCTCAGAAAGCATCTAAGGAAATGATAGGGTCCCAAGATCACCAAGTCCAACTTCTAATCATGGGCAAATTTTCAGTGTTTTTCCAGATGTAGAGAGCTAAGTTCTAAACTAGCATTTACTGCTCTTACTGAGAAGAATAAATTACAGAATCACAAGTTATTCTAGTTTTACTGTTCTGAGGAGAAAATTTATGACAGAGAAGAACACTGCAGACTTGTCATACTATCATTTGAACACACACACACTATCCTTGTCTATACAGGATGTAGTTCTTCCTCTCTGAAAGCTAATAATTTTAGAAATAAATAGAAATACTTCTTTAGGAAGTCCATCCTAGTTTGTGAAGTATCTTTATGATATTGCCAATGTATCAAGCCAAGCTTGAGCGGTGGCAGAACTGCTTCTGAAAGGAGGCTGGGAAATTGAGAAGCATTGTTTTAGCATTGCTTCTTCAATTTTGAGCAGTTGTCCTATCTTAGGTTAGTGCCATATTCATCCAAGGTGGTACAGGTGGATCCTGTACCACCTTGACCTCACCAAAAGTTTATTTCGGTGAGATGATAAAGCTGTTCCCCTCTACAAAAGTGTCCACACTTGGAAACACATTTCAAGTTCTCCATCTGTTTAAAAAATCTGCTCACTTTATCTCTTTTATGTGAAAAATGTTTCTCTGTAAGAGGAAGCATAGATTGGAAAACAGAAATAATGGCAGATGCTAAAAATGAATTCTGAGGCAGGTGTCCTGTAGTATGTCTTGACACATATATGATCACTTGTATGATAAGCGAAGTCATGGGTTCAGTGTTGAAAGGTATTACTTGTTTTAACAATATTTAAATCTGTTCCTCATTATGATCCATTGTCTACAGTGAAAAAAGCATACACATTTATTTGCTGGTCTTGCTACAAAACCAGGACCTTACGCCTCAAACATGAGTTTGTGACTAAAACTTCTGCAAAGTGCTGGTGTAGATATCTTACTCAGATGTTAAAATACCATATGACAATCAGTGGTTTTGAAGGACCATATTAAACACCTTATTTTTAAAAAGTTTCTTCTTGCCCCTAGGCGCTGCACAGACATTATTTGCTGTGTTATCTTCATAGTTGTCATTCTGGGTTACATTGCATTAGGAGTTGTGGGTAAGTAAACAGAGGTATAGTAATGCCTTTTCATATAGAGGGGAAGCAGCTTTGTGAATGTTAGAATTTTAGATTGAAATGTCCCTTTTGCTCATATTAGTGCAAAACTTTCCAATCAGTAAATAATGCCTTTCATAGAAGCAAATAATTAATTATCATTCTGTATCTATTGTAATTCACAGAATCACAGACTGGGTAGGGCTGGAAGGGACCGCAGTGGGTCATCTGGTCCAACATCCTTGCTCAGAAGGGTCATCTCAGAGCATATGGCATAGGATTATGTCCAGATGGTTCTGGAATATCCCCTGTGAAGGAGACTCCACACCTTGTCTGGGCAATCTGTTCAAGTGCACAATCACTGCACAGGGAAGAAGTTCTTCCTCATGTTCAGGCTCAGTCCCTGCCTGTTGCTCTGGTACCATTGCTGGGCTCCAGAGCAGAGCCTGGTTCATGCTCTGCCCCCTTCCTGCAGATGCTGACAGCCAGGGCTGAGGACCCCTCTCAGCTGGGGCTCCTCTCCAGGCTGAACAGTCTCAGCTCCCTCAGCCTTTCCTGGGAACGGAGATGCTCCAGGTCCTTCCTCAACTCCACAGCCTCTGTTGACCCTGCTCTGGGAGCTCCATGTTCCTCTTGTCCTGGTGAGCTCAGAGAGGGACACAGCACTCCAGAGGTGCCTCACAGGACTAAGCCAGAGGGGCAGGATCCCTCCCTGACCTGCTGAAAATGCTTTTCCTGAAGCACCCCAGGATCCCATCAGCCTCTTGGCCCTAAGGATAAAATGCTGGCTCAGGGAAAGCTTGTCCCCCAGGGTCCCAAGGTCTTTCACCAAAGAGCTGGTTTTCTGCAGGTAACTGGGGAAAGTTCAAAGCCATGTGTTTACTGATAAAAAAACCACCTCAAAATTTAGTGTGTTCAAAAAAATGACAGTTTTTAAAGTTTGCAGTCATAAAGTAACTGTGATGGAAAATTTCAGGCAGCAGAAGCTAGAGAAAAACAATTTGGGTTGAGAGCAGCCCTGAGAAGAAGGAATTGGAAATGTGGATTGATGATGTCTGAGTGTGAGCCAGCCATGTACACTTACAGCCCAAAAAGCCAAATGTATCCTGGGCTGTGTTGAAAGAGGTGTGGTCAGCAGGTCAAAGGAGGGGATTCTGCTATTCTGCTCTACTCTTGTCAGACACCTTCTGCACTCCTGCATCCAGCTCTGTGGCCCCCAGCACAGAAAGGACATTGACATTTTGGAGCGAGTCCAGAGGAGAAGTGCTCTGAGGAGTGGAGCACCTCTGCTGTGGAGGCAGGCTGACAAGTTGGAGCTGTTCAGTGTGGAGAAGGGAAGGCTCTGAGAGACTTCAGAGCTCCTTCTAGTGCCTAAATAGTCTCCAAGGGAGCTGGAGAGGGACTTTGCACAAGGACAGGAGTGACAGGACATGGGGAAATGGCTTCTAAACTGACAGAGGGCAGAGATAGGTTAGAGATTAGGAAAAAATTTTTCCCTGTGAGGGTGGTGAGGCCCTGGCCCTGGTTGCCCAGAGAAGCTGTGGCTGCCCCATCCCTGGAAGTGTTGAAGGTCAGGCTGGAAGGGACCTGGAGCATTGGATTGCTTTCTTACAATTTAATCCATATCTTAGTACAACTTACTGTACTTTCCATTTTAGTATTTCATTAGGGAATCTACTAATCAGTACTCTTTAGTGTTGATCTACAAAGTACGAAATGGTACTTTAGAAGTGATACGTTTTCATGATAGCTAATTTTAATTGTTAACTGTGAACACTTGACTAATATCTTAAGAAGTATTGTGTATTTTGCAGCTTGGGTGCATGGGGACCCCAGGAAAGTGATTTATCCAACTGACAGCTATGGGCAGTTCTGTGGTCAGAGAGATACCCTCAATGAGTGAGTACTAAATCCATTCACATACCTTTTTTACTTGTGCACTCTGAATAAGACCTGAGGTTTCAAATCTCTGTCCATGAGACAGTAACACTCTTACTGTATTTATTCCAAATAAAATGCAGAAATATATTAGTTCTCCAGTGCAAATCCAGATCCAAAATATTACTGTAATGCACTTGTTTGTGTCATTTAGAGAATATTTTTGTAAGGTATCAATATAACTTAAAGATTGTGTCAGCAGTTGCATAGAGTGACTAGCTGGAACAGCTTCTAGCTGCCAAAGTTTGGGTAATTCATAACCTGTTGAGTAATTCTTCATCCACCTTGGAATAAGAGAAGTCTTAAGGCATTGTAGCCTGGTCTATAGTTTTTCTCAACAGGCACCAAATAACAGAAAAGTCTATAGTGAAAGGCTCTTGTTTTTTTTCCTGTGCCAGTAGAGAGGAGATTGAGTAGTCTGGGAGATGGGCAGCTGTAACCACATCCTCCTTGGATAAACAGGAGGTAAATAGAACCAAGTGGCTCTATTTACTTGTCTCGGTTTTTCAGTCATTTTGGATTTTGAATTTTAAGAGTTAAATTAGTTAGTTGATACCAACAGAGTACTTACACATGAAAATAGTTGCTCAGGGAAGAAAGATGTTGCATCTGTGGTTTCTCTGAAAATCTAAGTGTCTGGGTTAAATTCTAAACATAATTTTTAAAAAGGTTTGCTTTTTCACTTACCATCTTCCTTTGAAAAGGTAAGTTTTAGTCATGCGTTATGCCCTTGTCACTGTCAAGAAGCTGGATGCTATATTAGAGTTTGATAACAACTCTTTGCTGCTTCTTTCTTTCTTCATTTAGTTTTCTGTGGAAAAAAAATGAGGAAGCCACTGTCCAAAGGGCAGTTCAGAAGGGGAGGAGCAGGAAATAGAGACTGGAACAGAAGTAGAGCTAGGACTATATATCCTCTCAAGTTTTTTTTACAGGGAAACAGGCTAGTGAAAGGAAACCTGTTCCACCCTCAGACTATTCTTCACAGCAATTGTTGGGAGAGTCAAACTTCTTGAAGAGGGAAAACAAGGAGGAAAAAGTTGTAGTGGTGTGTCTGTGTTCCCCTCACTGCACCACTTCTCTACTCCCCGCCAATTTGTCCTTGTCCCCTCTGTTGCCAGTAGGAAGTAGTGGACAAATGGCTTTGGGAGTCTCAGACTCACAGCTTCCATATCCTGTGTGATGTGGAGAGAGGTGTTTCTCTCTGAATATTACCATTCACTCCTATTCCATCTTTCTGTTTGTTACTTGAGTTTTCCCTTTAGTTATTTCTTATACTGTGGTTTTTGGTTTGTATTTACAAATGACCCTCCCTATATAGGATTGCTGGAAAATAATACAGCTGCTGAGACTGCATTTTGGCATTTATTTGATACACTGAGGATATTCTTATAAAAATATAAATCAGAAGACACATAATACTACCTATTAGAAAAGCAAGAGTGTTTATGGCAGAAGGCCAGGATATCCCTCTGAAAGAGTCCCTCTAGTCCCTGGAGTGGGACTGAGGATGTACTTGTGAGGCTGTTGTCAATACCATTGTTTTTCAGATTCTCTCAAAGTAAGCATTGTGAAAGACTAACCCAGAGCTGTGGTATTCCAAAGTCCCCAAGGATTTAGCCTGAGACATTTTTCTTGGAAAGTAATCACAGTCTTCATGTTTTGAATCTTGTCCTTGTAACAAGTATTCTCAGCTATCTCACTGAGGAGTAGAAAAGGCAAGTTAGAAACAAAGCCAACACTCACAGCTTGTGTAAAACCCCATATGAATTCCAGTGAATGCCGTGCAGTCAAATAAATTATTTTTGTATCATCATGAAAGTCTCTGTTAGACCTCTTAATGTCTTCTTTTAATGTGTCCATTAGTTGATGTGTAATCTCTGAATTAGTTTTGCATTCTACAGAGCATAATGTACTAATGGAATACAACACAGTTTCATTATACAGACTACAGACCTAATTCTCAGTGGCTGTTATCATTTGTTACGTATATACTTAAACTTTCTTTTCTGTTGTCAATACCAGCAAGTGGGCTAAGAAAAAAAAAATTAATGGTTTTGAGCAGCTCACAGATCATAAATGCCATCAAGAAACTATTGAAAAATGGTATTTCAGTCCAAAATGGTATTCTACTAATTTAAAGAAAGAGTAACTAACGGTGGTAAATTAGTTTTGCCAGGATGCATCTTTTCTTAAACAGTGCGTAGTAGAATCTACCGCAGTGAAAGCAAGTTAACTTTGTAAAAAATGTCAGGAAGCTGAGTTAATCCCAATCTTATATGGAGTTTGAATGTGCAGTGGTGCTATATAATGGCTTTGATGGCATAGCCCTATTCAGCAATTGGTGGGAGTCACATGCTGGTGGGAGAACAGAGGATATGTCCCAGACTGGGGGATACAATGAGATGTAGAGGCAGGACTGATGTTGAAGCAGGACATATAGAAGAGGGGCAGCCTTGTTAACCCAGGCACCCTTCATTGTTAATATTGCCATCCTGCTCACAAGACAGGGCTCCCACTGTGCTGCAGTGCCTTGGTGAAGGTCAGTAGGGGCTCAAACACTGCTTTGTGGAGTCTCTTACGCATCACAGAAGCATAGAATAGTCTGAGTTGGAATGGACTTTAAAGCTCATCTCGTTCCAACCCTCATTTCCACTAGACCAGGTTGCCCTGTTCAGTCTGGCCTTGAAGACTTCCAGGGATGGGCAGGCACAGCTGCTCTGGGCAACTTGTGTCAGGGCCTCACCACCCTCACAGCCAAGAATTTCTCAGTATTCCATATGAACCTACTCTCTGTCAGTGGGGAAAGCATTCCCTGTTGTCCTATCTCTCCAGGCCCTTGTAAGTAGCAACTCCATATTTTTTGTAGATAGCAGCTCCATATTTTTTGTAGACTCCCTTCAGGTTGAAGATTTTGTAGGCTCCCTTCAGGGAAAGCCACAATTAGGACACCCCTGAAGCCTTCTCTTCTCCAGGCTGAACAATCCCAATTCTCTCAGCCATTCCTCATGGGAGAGGTGTTCCATCTCTCTGATCAACTTGGTAGCCCTTGTTAGCCCCATAGTCCATAGCGGGGCATGTGCACCATTTCTTGGGGTGCATATGCAGGGACATGGCATAACCCTGACTAGGTGGCTTTGAAGTCTTGTTTAAAAAGGGCAGGTCTACTGCCATATTCTCTTCACTAGAGCTATCTGATAATTTTCTGACATAGCGAAGGCTAACAGCACATTTTGCTGTCCTCAAAACTCAAGTCTTAAAATCAAGAGATCTTGGGGTCCCAAGTTTCTAACAAATACAGACATAAGTGACAGCTGCCACAAGGCTCCAAATTCCATTCAGTGGAAATTCCAAATCTTGTCAGTGTTCTTAGTAAATGCTATTATAGTCTGTTTTCTGGACAACTGCTTTTGGTTTCCAGCCATAACATGCTTCAGATTGATTTTGGTGCCACCTTCTGATCAACAAAAACTAGGCAGCTTTTACAGTGAAGCATTTGCTGATGGTGAGTTTGCATGCACTGCATACACAGGATGTTGGTGGCACAGAGACTATGATGTTTTTGCAGGGTTATTTTACAAACCTCACCCTCTTGAGGCAGGACTACAGCTACATGGATTGTTTCAGCTTCAAATCATGCTGTGGAGAAAAGCTTGTCAAAATTATCATTCTTTAGAGAAAATAGTTCTGGTTTCATAGATGTCTTGATGTGGAACATTCAAGGTCTACTTGGGATATTTTTTTGTCTTGTGTTTGCAATATGAATGTTCACAGTAATGGAATTTAAATATCAATGTGTGCTACAAATTTTGGAATGGTAGACTGTATAAGCACCTATATTTATGATGATAATTATCTTATATCCATTTCCATAGGAACAAGACCATTTTGTTTTACTTCAACATTCTGAAATGTGCCAGCCCCGTAGTGTTAATAAACCTACAGTGCCCTACAACACAGGTGAGTGTAGAGGTAAAATATTTTCTCTGCATCTTAGTCATGATGCTTAAAAACGAGACATGTTTCAATTTAAAAATTGTTGTTCATTTCCTTCAAAATACAACATGGTTGTTTTATAAATGACTCATAGCAAGCACACTCTCTGTAGTGTGTGGTGGTCCAAAAAATGAAATGGAAATGGATGAGATTGTGTATTTTGGATAGGAGTAGACCAAAAAAGTTCACTGACTTTATTACAACATTTTTTTATTTATGAATTCACTGCAGGCAGCTATCCAGTAGTATTCAGTGCATGCAGAAACCACTGATTCCAAGCAACTGTGCATATTGCTAGTGACAGGAGTATTTGGGTGTGATTAGAGCCTATTGAAAACCGGAGATTTTGAAAGCTTGTTCTTGCCTTAGGTTACAATTTTTACTCTGTTTGTTGTGCTGTGGCACCTCATGAAGTTGTGAAATAAACCAAATCACTGCATTTGTGTGGGTTAAGATTAACCTCCTGATCTTTCTTACAAGACAATTTTCCTGAGCATAAAGCATGGAAATCTCCAACAAGAAAGAGGAAGAACCCTCTTAACACTGACTAGTTGCTGTCAGAATGAAAATTTGCTCCATCAGCTGCAGATTTGCTTTAGGAATCCCCATCTGTCCAGATGCAGACATTGGCACTGTTACCCTGCAGTCTTTAGACTCTTTTGCTAGAACAGTTCAGTCTGTTCAGAAATATAAGGTAATTGTGTGGAATTTGACTGGTGCTGTGGTCAAGTTGGCAATGGCCATGAATCAAATAGGGTGAACTACTTGTTGAAGGAGAGTTCTTGGGAGCAGAGTAATTATTTTGTTCATTTTCAAATATGCAACTCCAAAACTAAGAATGCTGTTTTTTAAATGCTATTTGTTACTGTGGATGGTTAAATTACTAGTCTTTTCAAAAAATCTTGATGAAGAATTTTTATTTGATCATTCCTCTTTTGAACTGCAAATAGGGTCCTTCGTTCCTGACCTATAAATAGCAGGAGAAAGAACCCCAAAGAACTAACATGAGAAGAGCTTCAGTTCTTGAATAAGACTAGATGTGAAAACTGGATCCATAGACAGCACATTTCACTGCCTGTTTTATAGCTGGCAAACAGTTTATAATAAAGTGTGTACTTGTTAGTCACCTGTTGCCCCAGCAAGGACAAAACTCTTTCTTTCTTCCTTGGCCTGTGGGTAGTCCATAGGACTGAAATACTCATATAGAAAGACCCTCTTGCAGTATCTGCCATGTTCTAAGGATTAGTACAAGACCTCTTCCCAAAATTATTTTTATTGAATTACTTATGACAGAATGCCCTTGACTTGAAAGACAGTTTTTGTGCATTATGTCTCTCTGGTACTTGGACAGCAGAGCTTTGCAAAGGGTGTTTGGATAGCACAGCTTTGTAAAAACAAACTGCCTTCTAGGAAAGGCTGAAACTTGCTGTAAAGATGGAATTAAAACCACCTCACAGTCTTAACGTTGAGGAGTCAGAATGTCTGTCCTTAGTGTGGTTCCAGGGACCAGCAGAACCTTCAGAGTCTGTTTATTGGGGCAGCCACTTCTCCATATCCTAAATCTAAATCACAACTTCTCAATCGATGCATTCAATAAACGCCAGTCCTTGCCTGATTTCTCATATAAATCCAGCTTATAACAGCTGTACCTTGAGTCATGTGGGCATCATGCTTGACATAGGCATCCCCTGGCTTTGTAACTCTATTCTTAGTCCACAGTTAAAAGTCACTTTTGAGTGATTTACACCTAACTTGACAATATTTGTAGAGATGTAATTGACGGAAGAGGTTGTGTAGAAGGATGGAACAATAGTACCCGAGACTTTGGATTTTAGTGAGACTTTCTTTAAATAAAGTTCTCCTTATACAGCTAGTAGAAAGAAATTGCATATATCTGTGGAAGTAACTGTCACACCACCTTGCTCATATATACTGCCGCTGATAGATGTAGAGGAGGACCTGAGAGTTTTTTTTCTTGACGCGCAAAAAATTGATACTGTTTTCAACAGACTGAAAGCTCTTCTTGCCTATCAGAATGTGTAGAACCTAAGAAGATACAGAGAGGGCCTTGATATGCCAGATATGAGGAGAACACGCTTTGAAAGTGTTTTCTATCAAAGAATTCTAGGCATACTCATTTAGGGAATCAAAAGGACAACATATCTTTTCTGAATCCTGCAGTAAACATTAGTGAAGGCAGTGGCATTTTTCTTGCTGTTTCATTACACCGACTTTCCTTACATTTCTCTACCCAGAGTGTGTCTTTACTGACTTTTTTCTTTTATTGCAGCTTTGTGTCTCAAAGTGCCCAGACAGGTTTGCAACCTACATTGATGTTCAGGCTTCCTACAGATATAGACCAGATCAGTGGAATTACTTCAGACAATTCTGCAAACCTGGTTTTAACAATCCTCGCAAGGTGTGTATGTATCTGTAGATGATAAAGTACTTTTCTTCTTCAAGCAGTATTTATTATGCATGATTTTACTGAGCTGCTGACGGAATTTGTGGTTACCCTAAATTCCCACAAGCTGCATTGAAGATTTGAATTATTCTGATTTCAACATATAAGGAGACGTCCCATTTATGTGATTTGACAGTTGTTTAATCCAGGCTGAAGGTCTTGAATGCACACTAAACCTCCACTCTTCAAATGATTGCTGTTAGCTTAAAAGACTACCTGCAGCTACTCATGTAGTTGCAGTACTGTGGCAAGCAATATTGTTTAGGACTTAAGTACCCCACAGCATAGAATGGAGTGTCTCAAACCAATTCTTAAGGCTCCTTAGTCATCTATAGCTACTTGGAAAGGTAGCGAAGAAAATTAATATGTCCTTCATGTAACTGATTTTGCACTCAAATGTACTGCATTATTTCTCCCATTTTTAAAACATCTTGCAATTCAGCTATATTGATTGGGTTAAGAGAAAAGGTGAAGGGTAGGCAAGGAACAATTTTCTAGTCAGTTCTGGCTTAGATGCTGATCCAAAGGTGTTTTCTTTTATGTCACAAGAAAAGAAAAGATTAGTCTTTTTCCAAATCACAATGACAGTTTGGATTCTCACTTAGATATCCATGTATATTGCTGCTCCACCAGTGAAATATGGGGGGGAGGCTACAAAGCCCAGTTTGGGGCATTCCCTCAGACTAGGTGAAAAACAATAACACTTGTTACACTGTTATGCCATTATTCAGCATTTCTATTTTTCCCCTTTTTAGTCTGTTGCTCAAGTCCTACGTGATGAAGATTGTCCTTCGATGATCATTCCAAGCAGGCCTTGTGAGTGGTTCTACTTCTTATACACATTTTAGCAGATTGTGAGCATTCATATTAAAGCACAACTCCAGTCTGAAATGTGTTTTGTGGTGCCATCACTAGGAGCTGGTTTTTTTCTGACATTCACATCCATTCAGTTTTAAAGTAAAAATCAATTTAATTTGAAAATAGAAATATTTATTAATATTTTTTCTAACAGTCATCTGGAAATATTCAGCATGTGATCTGGTCAAGCTGAGCTTTTTTTTTTGCTCTTGAATCATCACTGATAGCAAAAGCTTTTCAACTGAAATTGTGCCTTCCAAAACAAGAGCAACTGATGCCATTGCATAAAGAAAATGCTAATAATGTTGGAAGGATCATATGGCCAAGTGTTGATGTTCAAATGATACTTCAGCCCAGTTACAATGCAGCTCTCTTTTCAGTGCAATGCTGGCTATGCAGGACATACAGAGGAATTCAGGGGCAAAAAATGTCACTATGGTCAGCAAGTGTTTCTGAGTAGATAACCACTATCTCAGAGCTCATCTCAGCTGCACAAGTGTAGTATTGACCCAGAATATTATGGAATAAAAAATTGCTGTTTACTTTTGCCATACTTTAAAGTAGGGATCATGTAAACCAGGAGCAGGTCATTAAAAGGAGAAGATATGGATTAAATTTTTAAAAGATAATGTGAATTTGTACGAAAACTGAAGTACTGACCCAAAAGACATAAAATAATTTGCAAAGAAGCTTTTATATTCTTTTAGACTACATCAATGTGCAAAGATTACAGGAGGAAGAAAAGATATGTTAAGATATATTGCTTAATCATTTAGTCAGAGTAATTGCTGGGGGAGATACATCAGACTGAATATTGAGCCCTGGCATCAGTATTTGTTGAAATCTGGTAAGGAAAGCACTAAATGGCTATGTGAAGTACACTTCTGAAGGACTCACATGCTCTTCTCTTTGGAATGAAACCAAGGACCTTTTGCAGCAAAGAACTGGGCAGAGTAAATGAGTATACAAGCATCTCCTTTTTTTGCTTTTTTATAATCTCCTCTTCCCTCTCTCTAACCAGTTGTTTCTGTCTTTTTTCCATTGCATAATCTCCAAGAATATCTAGTGATAGTGGCTGGTACTGGAGCTCATCTGGCATATGAGGAAAATGACACTTGCTGTTATATATTGTTTTGGGGTTAATATGATTCATGACCAGTCAAGTTGAATCTGTCCCTGGGGGCTGGTCTGATTATTACCATAAAATGGCATATTTGAGAAGCTGCAGTTTTGATAAGCTGCCCAGATACTGGCAGAGAGTGAGTTCCAAATTTATTACAAATTCTTAAGCTCCTACATGTAGTACTGTTGTTATTTGGTAGGACCTAGAATCTCCAGTTGAAATCTATGATCCCACCCTACCTGAGCTTAGACAAAAAGCCTCAGAGCATAAAAATCATAATCTTGAATGCAATGGCTCTTCCAAGATTTGTCAAAGTCAACATATTGCTAGATAACTGGTTGAAATACAATGGACTGTGAATCTGAAATTATTTAAATATGTTGCAAAACACACATGATAAAAGTAGAGCTTGACATGAAATGTAATATGCAGGCTTTGTTTTGATATTTTGAATAGTTCTGAAGAGATGCTTCCCAGACTTCTCCACGAAGAATGGTGTGTTGACCGTGGCAAATCAGACTACATTCAAAGATGGAAGAGGGAAAACAAGAAATGTAACTGATCTCAGGGAAGCTGCAAAGTAGGTTTTTACCCTTTTTCAGTGTTTGTTGGATTCTGAGATTGCACAATAATTTAGTAATGGGGAAAAAATCAGAATCTGTTGTAGCAAATGACTGAGAGTACCCAAGCAAGACTTGGTAGTAAATGGTCTCTCTGTGCTTGAGCACTTCCAAAGTTCCATTAAGGAAATCCAGCACTGTGGTGTGCAGAAAGGAGCAAAAAGTGCAAAAAAGCTTAAGTCTGATGGTCTCAATCATTCGTTGAAATATTTATTGGTTTTCCTAGCAAAAATGAGTTTTGCGAGGAAAGTTATGTGAGGTTCAGAATGCACTCCTTGTGCTGCAGGACCCAGGCCAGCGAGGAATGGCCTTGGCTATGCTGTTCTGTGATGACCTTTCCACTACCATGGGCTGGCCTAGTACTTTGGGCATCTCATCTCATCCCAGTGCTCCCACTTCTGGTAAAAACTAGTGTATTGGGCTATTCTTCAGAAAACAATTATATGGGCAAGCATTCTGCAGGATAAAAAAACAGTTCCACGGAGTTGCTTCACTGGCCTGTTGTCTGGTTCTATGCTATTAGCAGTTCTAGAGTCACTACTGTTTGTCTCTTGGTACATTGCAGATATTGATAGGATACACTTGTCTTGTGACATGATAAGCAATTCTGACAATAAAGCTTTTTTAATTAATTTTTTTTCAGGATTTGCAGAGATATTCTTATGCAGATTTTTTCTTTGCTGTAACTGTGATTGATGTTGACTTGGTGACAGAACTGGAGCTGAAAAATTGTAGTATACTCTTATCACTGCCAAAGATATTTCAAATTTTTTCAATGATCATATTTGTTGTTTAAATAAATTCTCTTTTTCTACCTGAAGCAACCTTTTATTTTATTTTTCTTTTCTTAGTGGCATCAATAATGTCCTGGATGCAAGATCAGTTGGAATGAAAATTTTTGAAGACTATGCCATTTCTTGGTATTGGATTTTAATGTAAGGGTTTTTTTGGTACTTTTAGTATTTCCAAACTCCTTTTGGAATGTGCAGAAAATAAAAAAAAATAGATTGGGCATGTTTTTGGTACATATTCTACTTTAAAACTCAATGAGCAACTGTAATTTCCTTTCATCACACATCATAATAAGGTTTTTATGGTTTTATGTTTTCTGTGGATGAGGTAAAGATAGTACAGCATACATACATAGAGTCTCAGTTGATCTGGAATAGCTTCTTAATGTCCTGCCAGTCAGAAAATCAGGAGGAGCAGTGTTCTGTTGCAGCACCCATGTGTGTAGCAATTCCAAAACTGAAAAATCTTAATTGACTTTCAAGCCAATTGCAGTTGCCAAGTGTCACTAGTACATATATAAAACATATAGTTTCTAAATTCGTGCAAGCAATATACAGTTAAACCCATTATAATCCCTAAATTCAATATAAATTCTAAAACCCAATGCAGCGGGCAAAGCAACATCAAGAACAAAAATTATTGAACAGTATTAACTTCATATTGCAATTAATATTAATTATATTAATATTAATATAAAAATTAATATAATATTAATATAAATTAATATTAATTATAATCCAGCACTGAAACAAGAGAAGTAGCTACTTTGCTGAAGCAAATATCTAAGACCATTAATACTGGTTTTGATGAACCTATGTGTTAATCTATTTAAACAGGAACAGTAGTCATCGTCAGGTGAGAACCTTTAACATGCACGTGTTAAGCATACATTAGTCAATCCTGAATGCAAATCCATGGCATTTAATGCATACTTTAGATAATAAAGTGGAGATTTAGTCAGTTCAGCTACACAAGCTGTCAGCTTTTAAAGATGTTCAGTCACTGGTGGAAAGACAGCTTTCTCCTAGTCTGATACTCAAAAGATTTAGTAGCAGGAAGCTCACAGACATTCAGCAAGCTTGGGTCTCTCTATCTCTTATTGAAATCAGGCTTGTGGTACAGATTCTCTCAAAGAAGATGCTGCTGAACACACTGGACGGAGAGCTGACCACTGTTTAGAACAGAAATTCTAAATATTGAAACAAGTTTCCACATTTCAGCTATGGTATTTTTTGTAAGGAAGTGTTGCCACTTCAAAGTAGATAGATTTTTCTTCACATTTTTCAACAAGTGATAGCCTAGATAAATGATTTCTGGACAAATATATTGAAGTGCCAGAGTTTGAGTGCAGTTTTTGACAGTGAAGGCTTGACACTGAAGAGAGGCTGGATTAAAATTTAAATATGGAATTGCTGTAGTCTTTCTAGCATACCCCAGAAGAACTACTGCTTCAGGCCTCAGTTTAAGGGAGCTAGTATGTTGAAGATAGTTGCTACTGTGTACTCAGTTTTGGTGTTACTAGGACTCATATATAACTAAAGATAACTTTAGATAAAGAAATAATAATTTACTGGTTTCAAGATGGAGCTCCAAAACTACAACTTTTCTTGAGGAATATATTCCAAATTTCAGTAAATCATTCAGAAAGGGAAAGTACATCAGGCTAGGAAGCCATTAAAGAGGTAGGACTTAAGGCAAATTTACAAAGGTTTAACTAAATAAGCTTATATGATTTTTTTTATGATCAGGCTGTCCCAATTTTTAGCTTTGGTTATTGGCTAAATAAGCTGGGAACATTCAGAGGAAATGTTACTGAGCACAGACAAGAAGGGGTTTTAAATTCTTTGAGTCTCTACTAATACAAAATTTGCATGTAACACCTACTAAAAATAAGGAGACATGAAATGTTCTTTGAAATACCTGAGCTGGATATTTGTTTGATGGGATTAATATTCATATTGCTTTCTTCATAATTGTTTAGAAAGCCTTGCGGAGTGAAAAAACCTTTTGCAATATTTTTTTCCTTTCTGAATATTTTGTTTCTATTTTTTGCTTTCTAGGAGTGAAATGAAAACAAATATTACATTACATTACATTTGTCTTGATGAAGAGAAGGCACCCTAATGTCTTTCCTAGGGACTCCATAGAAAGGCTCTTAACTGTTTCTTTCTATGCATTATAGGCCCTGATCATTTCCTGTTCTGATTAGTAGGAGCAGTGATGAGTAGAAATTATGTCCTCCTAACTTCCTGGTGGTTTTCCTCCTAAATTTAATTTTTTTTTTCCCTAGGAAGCTCCTAAAATGTTGTTTTACTAACAGTGTTTCTTTGCAAGCAGGGATTTTTTGTGGCAGACATAAACCAGCAGCTTCCCCACACATAGGTATTTCTCCAGTTTAACTTTCCGTACTGTAGATTAGACTGTGGCCTGAAAAAGGTGGTGAGTTTTTCAGCTGGTGTAAGTGACAAAAAAGGTATTATATTAATCCCATTCAACCAGCCTGAGAACCTAGTACACATAAGCATTTCAGGCTCTGCCCTGTGAGATCATCATATATCAGCTGTTTGTAACGGCAGATAACAGTCATGAGAATGTATTTCATAACAAAGATAAAGTGACCCTCTTTTGGAGTAACAGGAATGTAAGAAAGTGAATAGATTCTTACATTCATTTTCTCTGTGTTTCTGTTTCTTCACTTTCTAGTGGGCTGTTCATTGCAATGTTGCTGAGTCTGCTGTTCCTTGTGTTATTGAGGTTCACAGCTGGTGTTCTCTTCTGGATTTTCATCTTTGGTGTGATTGGAATTATAGGTTATGGTAGGTGTAATTTTCTAGCCTCTGAGACTGTTTTTTCTTACTGCTTAAGTCTGGAAAATCAGTAGCTGCTTCAATTAAATGGTACAATTGAGTGAATTAATGCCTAGTTTTAGGCATAATTAAGTGAGAAGGACATAAATGGCAGCAAAATGCAGTTAAGAATCCAGCTGTGCTGATACTTAACAGCAGATGTAGTAACCTGCATTACCTATGCACAGTATGCTTAGTCTGTAATCACTGGTACTGATATTTCTTTCCCATATATATGGTATCATCATTGGCTAGTCTCACAGTGATGCATTTTTGGGTTTTGCTTATCTGACAGGCTTATACAAAAGCAAAACATTTGGCTTGTAAGATTTTTTTAAATTTGTTTTTGCACTCTTCAGACTCACTCCTATTTTATTGATTGTTTTTTAAAAGGCATCTGGCATTGTTACTGGGAGTATGATCATCTTAAAGGAATACCTGGATCTGACCTCACTGTATATGATATTGGATTCCAGACAGACTTCAAAGTGTACCTGCAACTGAGGCAAACATGGTTAGCATTTAGTAAGTGCCCTTTTACATTTGGTATCTGTTAATGGATATTCAGGAAAATCAGTCAGTGTCTTAATACACGTTCTGCCTTGTTAAATCTCCTCCTCTACACATGTTGCTCAGAGAAGAAAGCAGAATTCCTTTTCTCTGTGTTGTGTAAAAATATGCTTTTTTTAAGGAGACTAGTATTTGTAAGGGAGATAATGCAATCACACTAGTGATAAGAATGAAAAAATCTTTCGTTATGAGCATTCTACTTCCAGTATGTTCAGTCTTCATCATGGGGGAAGCAGAAGGCAATAATTAAGTTCGTCATGATGAAGTTGCACAAGGAACAGTAGTTTTCTCTCTCGGATTATTTTTTCTCCCTCTTTGAGAGCCCCAGAAATAAAGTTAATAAATCTTATTAATAGCTACACTTCTTTGTGTCTTAGACTCCTAAAATATACTGAGTTGGAAGGGACCCATCAGGATGATCAAGTCCAACTCCTGGCCCTGCACTGGACACTCCAACAATCCCACCCTCTGCCTGAGAGTATTGTCCAAATGTTCCTTGAGCTTTGGCAGCCTTGGGGCCATGACCATTTCCTGGATAGCCTGTTCAGTGCCTGACCCTTGGGGAAGAACCTTTTCCTGATCTCCCACCTAAATCTCCCAACCCAGCTCCAGCTCTTCCCTCGAGTCCTGTCACTGGTCATGAGAATGAAGGGATCACTACCTGCCTTCTAATTGCCCCTTGTGAGGATGTTGAAGACCACAGTGAGGTCTCCTGTCAATTAACACTTATGTCACTGAATTTTCTTGGAGTCTGATCTAAGACTGTGGAATGAACCATTTTAAACAATGTGCTACTGGAACAAGACAACCTGCAGCATACACGTTCCCCCCAAGAAAGGAGGAGCAGAAGAGAGAAGAAATAATTGTTGAATATTACTTGCACTCCTGTTACTGCTCTGTTGGAAGACACACAGACTTTTAACTGATGATGAATGGGTCATAACCAAAAACGCTGCCTTTCCTTATTGGTAGCTAAATTAATAGAATAGTAGCTTACTGCTTAAATCTCCCGTCTCTTATGTCTTCATTTACTTCTGTGTTGGATCATTGAGCTTATGAGGCATCTTCTATATATATTCTTGAGTCAGTGCTTTTTAGTGTGCTCTCCCTAGAGAATATTAGGACTTAATTATGTGGTTTTTTTCCTGTAACTCTTCAGGCTCTTCCCCTGCCTGATTCTTAGCAGCCAGTGTTTTACCTAGAGTTTGACGTCACTCTCACAAGAGTAAATTGCGGTACTCAGGAATTAAATTGCTTTTCCGAAATCACCCAGCAAAGTAAATAGTTACATATCCTTGAAGAAATCATAGTCGGAGTCCTAGCCTAGAACTCATCATGTACTTACATTGCTTGCCTTTTTCACAATGTTTTGGACAAGTGCATTAATCTAACAGAGTCAAATTGGAATGAGACCAACTTTAAAGAAACCTGTTTATATATTCCTTCATGGGAAAACAGCATTGAAAAGTATTTAACAAAAGCTTTGTTCTGAACAAGGTCTGTGGCTCTTAGCACCACAGCAGTCACTTGCCCCTGCAGTTCTATTGCCAGGGGTAATATTTGGGATTGCAATTCAACATCATCTGTGACTGTTGGGTCTGATGTTCTGAGACAATGTCTAAGCTGTGGGACTTTAAAGTCAAATCTCATCTTCCTTTGCAAACCTTCATGTAAGTTTTCAGATACTTAAGGGTACTGTCCCTTCTGTCTGCCTCTCCTTCCACAGAATTTCTTGGTTTCAGCTGGGGATACAGGTCCTGCTGTGTACAACAACCTGCCCCTATTAGGCTGGTTTAAGTGTTGTCTAATGATCTGAAGCACCAAAAATATATGGATATGTCTCATAATTGGAGGGTGTGTGCTTCAGGCATTAAAGACTCAGTCTTCTCTAGGTGAAGTTCCCAGAATTTTCTTACTTTCTACTGCAGAAGTAGGTTTTGAACCAACATGAATAGAAATCAGACAGAAGAAGACTCTACTGAAATCAGAGTTATGATTCAAATACTGCTTATAACTAAGAGCCCTCAGCTCTCTAATATCAGAGCATGATTCCAGCAACACAACTGAAAGGGGAAAGTAATTTGACCAGGATGGTGCTATCTTAGTCTCTTTTTTTTTTTTATTTTAACTCAAACGAGGTAAAAGGAGCTCATGCCAGGTTAATACTCAAACAAACCTTTTAATTTTAGTACATCTACATTTTAGAGCAATGTAGGTCAGAAAAATACACTCTCCATGAAAAAATTGACTCTTAATCTGCTATTTTTTAGTATCTAAATACTACAAATGAGCAACAGTATAGCATGAACAAAGGCTTGTATTATGAGCAAAATTCTTGTTTATGGAAAGTACAATTTGTAAAGGATGAACTGTATCTAAGCCTAGATGCTGCAGTCACATTGAAGTAAATTTTTACCTTTTTCTGAGAATTATATGTTCCATTTTTCTGTTAAAAATACAAATATCAGGGTCATACACATTCTGACTAATTCGCTACATATAGAATTGTTTTTTTTCAATGGGACTTAAAAACCTGTGAAATGGGATTGATGTTTGGCAGGTGCGGTTGGAGAAAGAACTGCTCAAGCAGAGAATTTTACAGAGTTCATGAACAATAGTTCAAATTACAAGGAAGAAATTATAGAAGCAGCATACTGTTTGGTTCTTGATAAATCTAATTTCTTTATTTACATTTCTTCATTTACAGTGATAATACTTTGTGGTGTTGAAGTCATAATCATACTGATGCTGATCTTCCTAAGAAATCGTATTCGGATTGCTATTGCACTGTTGAAGGAAGGTAGTAGGTATGTTTGTCTGATTCTAATATATGTTGAATTTTATTAAGTGATCCCTAGAGTACACTCTTCTTGAACTCCATCTTGCACTACCAAGGGCAGAAAATTGGGGTTTGAAATACAACACTGCATTTGTTGAATGAAACAGGTTCAAAAAGGAATTAATGGGAGTCATTCAAGGAATATCAGTTATCTTTTGATGAGATTGTGCTTAATATAGTTTTCTGTTTTAAGGTAAGGTATTTCTTATCTTTCCACTTCTTGCTTTAAGTATACATATACTGTTAATGTTACCACATACCTTTAGTGCAAAGAAGGTGTCTCAGCAGAAAATCTAAGTGTGGTATACTGTTCATAGGAGCCTGGGACCTGTAAGTGCCAACTTTCCTCTATTGTCCCAGTGGTAGAGGATTAGTGTTGTTTTGGCTATGACTTCTATTTACGAAAGACTAGGAGATTCATCTGAGTCCAATTGGACTTCTGTGTGGACAGGCATAAATCTGCAGAGAGAAAAAGAGGCTTCTGTGACCAGACATCGTAAGAAGGTGCAGTCTAAGATATGTCTTTTCAGTTCTGAGTAAAGAAGAAAGCAAAGCAGGATATGAGAGTTTAGGTCCTAAGGGACCTCTTCGTTCTGTGTTTCCTGAAATCTGCATAAACCTTGTTCACAGTAGTTCCTCTTTTACACATTTCGAACACTTCGTGGGTATTTTTTTGATTTGTTTGGGTTTTTTGTTGGATTTTTTTTTGTTTGGTTTTTTGTTTGGTCTGGATTTTTTAAATTGGGAATATTACAAAGGCTAAATGGACTTAAAACTGACTGACTTAAAATGTCAGGCCTTGGGTTTCATTGCAAATAGACTATGATGTCATAGGTCCTGAAAGCAAGCCTGTGTTCTCAGAGCACATAGTGTTAGCTCTGAGTTCATCTATATGCACTTGCCTGTGGTATTCTGCCGTCTTTATTGCCACTGTGGTTCCCAGGAATCACAATTTGGGATTTTTGTCATGGGATTAAAACATACTGAAGTTCTGCATTTAGCCAGGTATCTGTTTCCCGTCTTATGCTACTGTGCAATTAGAGCATAGCAATTAATTTAGGCAACACTAAATTATACTCTTTAATTCTCATTCATTAAAATCCAGGAACACTTTTAACATTCTTCAAAACCTTTGTTCACAGCCTTGACAGGTGGAAGGATTTTAGAAAGGTCATAAACTTCTTGCTGATTAGTAATAACATTCTGTAGTTTTCCAGCAGCATGGAAAACTCACTTGAAGATGGACTTTTTGCTCTGATGCATAATGGATGAGATGAAACACTGTAGTAATTACTGTAAACCTAACAGACCAGGTCATATATTTAGGAAGTTAAAAAATAAGGTGCTAATGATTGGAAATCAAATTATGTTTTCCAATACCTTTTAGCTACATTTTCAAAAATATTACAGTTATAATGCAAATAATTGGCTTGAAATCCATAATTAGAAGCAACAGTTGTTAATTAGTGTTTTGGAATAATAGGGCATGGTCTTAAGAGTAACTAGGAGGCCTACCAATAGCCGCTGAACATAGCAAATTTGTTGTGATTATTTCTCAGACACCAGAAGGCTATGTCCTCCTGTGTGACTTGTATTGGACTTTTTTGTCTCTGGGCTCAGGCAGCAATTGATGTTTGGCTCAAAACCTCTGGATGCACATGACAGTTTCCTTGCATTCTCCCCAGCATTTACTACTTTACCTTTAGAAACTGAGTAAAGTTTTCTCCTTTTGCTGTCTGGAAAACAAATAGCATCAGAGGTGCCCTAAATCATAGGAGAAATACTGTAGGAAATAGTACGAGACAAAAAGGCTTGTGATAAAAAGAGCCAGCCTGTAAGTTTCAGTGAACAAAGCATGTGCTTTCTGAATTCACATCCAGTGAGATGCCCAGCTGGAGACGTTCACTTCTGGGATTAGCACCAGGTTTACCAAGAGGGCTGGTATCAACTCCCACTTCCAGAGAATGAGTGCCTGGCAGGGTGGGAGCTAGCATGCTCAAGTTTCTGCCACTAGTCACATTCTAGCCACCAGAACTAGCAGAAGAATATCAGTCTACGTATGCCTTGATATTAAAAGAAGCTCTCTAAGCTGTCAACAGAAAAAGGCAATTATTTGTTTTGCCTTCCATTAGTCATAGGTGAGCAACACTTATGTACAACATGTGCAAGGAAAGTCACATAGTTGCAGGAAGGTGTCAGTCTGTCCTGGCATTGCAAAGACAAGTTGACTGTCTCTGCCCCTGCATAGCTAGCACTTAATGCAGGAAAGTTGCTGGGAATAGAGTTGTAAAATACAAAATAGAATAAGGTAGTTTCAGGTTTGTAGGAGTGGAGGAAGAACACAGGATGGGCAGAGTGGGATAAGGATGTAAATGGTAATATCCGCGGCAGCTGGCAAGAAGATGTAATGGAAATCAGTTAATGGCCTGGAAAGAGACAGATCTCTGAAGCAATCATGAAGAAGGAGAAAGTAGAAGACAGGCTGGAATATGGCAAATGGATAAAGTTCACTCTAGTACCATTGATAAAAGTGGAGTGGTAGAAATGATAAAGTCAGGGTTTGAAGACATAAGAAAAAAATTCCTGCAGTATTCCGAGATCCCACTACTAGGTTATGCTATGAGTGTCAACAAGGTTCTCCAAGTAAAATTGCTAGAAGAGGACTGATAAAAAGCTAGTTTCTGGAATTGCTATAGCTTACTGATATATTTTGTTTCTTTTATAGGGCAATTGGCTATATAATGTCTACACTGTTCTACCCAATTGTCACCTTCTTACTCATTGCAATTTGTATTTCCTACTGGGCTGTGACAGCTGTGTATCCTTCTGTATGTGTACCAATCTGGAGGAAGTCTTCTGGTCTGCAAGGCTAGATAATTTTCTGCTATTTCATGTTAATTAAACCAATATTAAGAGGGCTGTTTGGTCACTTAGCACTTACTTTTCTGATGTGGTCTTCCACACTGCACATATACATGTGATGCACAAACCAGACAGTGATTTTATTAGAATTAAAAAAAAAACTGGACTAAAATTCAGGCCAAGGCAGGGGGATCATACAAAGCCTTGTGTACTGCATAAGGTTGACTCTAGGGGCTGAAAAGGGCCCTCAGTGAGGAGTGAATATGGTCTTTAATGTGCTGTGTGCTCCATAGGCCTGGTGTTAATGGTTTCTTAGTTAACTGGAGGTGGAATGGGTTCTGTATGTATTTTGTTCAGAAAAATATGAGAAAGGAGTGAGAAAATATATAGTGCACTATCTCCTCTGTATTACCTAACAGCAATCACTGTTTGTTCCTCAACAGCAAAGGTTTGGTAAGGATTAAAAAAGGGGAAAGCTGCTGATTCAAATCCAGCTGTTATTTCATATGCAAAGAGGGTCAGTTGTTGCTGTTCAGGACAGTTTTAATTCATCCTTATGCTCTGTATCTACTTCTGCCAAAATACATGAACTACTGCATAATCTTCCTTGTCAAAGATAGATATGGAGGAGAGATGGGTATGCTTTTCAATGTTATGCTCCCTGCCCATTCTGGTTAGGGGTTATTACAGCTCCAGGTATGAGTTTGGAGTAGTTCTCTAAGTAATGAGAGTACTTGGTCATGTCTGTCAACCCTTCAGTTACATCTCTGCAGAGCAAGAGCAGTTTTTCTGTTACCTACACAAGTTCTTTAGAGCTAGTGGTTACCCACTGCAGAATCCTAAGTTGCTCAAAAACCACAGTTCTGTGATTGTTCCTTAAAGTATTTAATTCAGTTTTCTGGCCACATCAGGAGAACCTGTGTATAAAGTAATGGCTAATCAAACACTGTGCAAGTATGCAAACCTGACTTGTGACCCAGAGGTAAGTGTAACAAATATTTACCTGTACTGAAAGCTATACTAACTGTATTTCTTAATCACTATTAAATGCACTTCTAGTAAAAAATGTGCATATTTTAAGTAATGAGTCCCTATGTTAAATCTGAAAATATTACCTAATGTTCAGGTAACACTTTTTTATTTTACAGACATAAACTAGTTTTTCTGTTAAACTGTCCTGTAAATGTTAGCATTCAAATTTACAGGGTGAGAAAGGAAGAGACAAAACCAAAATTTTATAGGAAAGATGTTCTTGAATTTGTGAGGAGTCTGTTTTTTGGTCTTCCAAAGGCAGTGGTAAACTTTGAAAGCTGCTCCTCAAAGTTGCTCAGGGACTAGCCATGATTTGAAGCAGAAGCTTAGCTTCTTCTGGCACAGTAATTACCTTTATGAAGCTCCAAAACTATTTGTTTCGGTTTTTTTAAAATTTTGCCTTCAGTCAAATTTTTTTACTTGGCTGTGGGTTTGAATTTAAGGATTTTCTAAAAACTAGAAATATTTATCAAGTGTTGTGCACCAGGGGAAGAATAACCCTTTATACAAGCACAGGCTGCAGGTGACCTGCTGGAGGGCAGCTCTGTGGAGAGGGACCTGGGGATTCTGGTGGGCAACAAGCTGTCCCTGAGCCAGCAGTTTGTCCTGGGGGGAAAGAGGTGCTTTAGGAAGAGCATTTGCAGCAGGTCAGGAGTGATCCTGCCCCTGCACCCAGCCCTGAAGGCACCTCTGGGTGCTGTGTCCAGCTCTGGCTCCTCAGCACAGCAGGGACGGGAGCTCCTGGAGCTGAGTAAGGGCCTGGAGCATCTCGGTGTCCAGAAAAGGCTGAGGGAGCTGGGGCTGCTTAGCCTGGAGAGGAGCTCCAGTGAGAGGGGCCCTCAGCCCTGGGTGTCCCTGGGTGCAGGGAGGGTCAGAGCATGAACCAGGCTCTGCTCTAGGAGCCCAGTGGGACAAGAGGCAATGAGCAGAGACTGATGCATTAAATTTCATTGTATTATAGTGCTGATGCATACCCTGCTGATGTCTAAACACTACAAAATAAGAGAATTAGAATTGATCTGGTTTCATTTCATGTCCAAACCAAGCAAATATATGAAATGAACACTAGAAATAGGGAAAAGTAATTCAATGTTAAGTTTACTAGTTTTTTAACAGTCTGAGATACATAAGCTAAGTTGTGACCACATCCACAGTTTCTATTAAATTGTATAGCTCCTTTTTTTGTTTCAACTATGGCGATTTACCTGAACATCCAGTTTGGCCTCTAGTTTTCAAGTAATTTTTTTTTGTTTTAATTGAGCAGATATTCTTTAATGAAGCATTTATATATGTTAAAAGTAAATACCTGAAATACAAATTTCATTTATTCAAGCTTCAGGGATGTGGTGAACAGCCCTGTTAGCCAATACTTAGTTTTAAGTTAAGTCTTTGCAGAAGACTGGATAAATTCTTGATTATGAATCCTTAAATATGTAAGCAGGTTACCTAGTGTTGCAGTTTTGAATGAGGTAATGGAACATCAGACAGAGTTATGTTATTTGTAGTGACCTGCTAAACTTCAGAGGCTATGTATATAGAATTCATTACTTATGATTGTGTTGTTTATTTTTCTTTCTATTTAGACTTTTAACACAACCAATGTGACTAAATTGTGCCCAGGTGCTCAGTGTACTTTTGCTTTTTATGGAGGAGAAAGCCTGTACCATAAGTACATCTTCATCTTCCAGTTAGCCAATGCCTTTGTCTTTCTCTGGCTGGTAAACTTTGCAATTGCACTGGGTCAGTGTACCCTTGCTGGTGCCTTTGCCTCTTATTACTGGGCCTATCGAAAACCAGCTGATATTCCACTGTGGCCGCTCTTCTCTTCATTTGGACGAGCAATACGGTAAGACTGTGGAGCTGGAACCGAGCCTTTTCATGTATCTGACAAGTGCTCTTTTTCCATCTAGGGAAGCCAATCTTAGAATAGCATAAGAAAATTATTAGTCAGCATTAAGGTTTAATCTCGGTGGCAGTCAGGCCCCCGCCACAGCCACCTGCTTGGTCCCCCACAGTGGGGTGGAGGAGAGAATCTGAAGTGTGAAAATACAAAGGCACGTAGGTTTAGATGAAAACAGTTTAATAGGTAAAAGAAAGCTGCATGCACAAGCAAAGCAAAGCAAGGAATTAGTTCCCCATTTCCCACAGGCAGGCACGTGTTCAGCCATCCCCAGTGTATCAGGGCTTCTCCATGTATAGCAGTGTCTTGGAAGGACAAATTCCATAACTTCAAATGCTCCCCTCTTACCCCCCGCTTCCATCTCCGCTGTTACTGCTGAGCACAGGACAGTATGGAGTGAAGTATCCCTGGGGTCAGTTGGCGTCAGCTGTTCTGGCCATGTTCCCTCCCAGCTCCTCATGCACCCCCAACCTACTTATCACTGGGGAAGAGTGAGGAGCAGAGCAGTTCTTGGTGCTGTGCAAGTGCTGCTCAACAATGGCTAAAACATTGGTGTGTTATCACAATTGTCCTGGTCAGAAATCCAAACCATAGCATAGAACAAGCTACTAAGAAAAAAACTAACTCTAGTCCATCCAACCAGCACAACTGAGAAGATGTAGTTATTAGGGGAAGGCTGTATCCTGTAGCCCAACAGCACCAAGGCTGCTGCAGCTCCCTGCCCCTAGGTCCAACCCATTGTAATGCTGAGCAGGTACTCTCAGTAGACACAAACATGAAATACATGTACACAACACGTGTACACAGATTGAGAGACAGACACAGCACTCACAAACACCAACAACAGCAATGGCTCCATCCTGTTCCTCTGTGGTGGATCAGGATGAAGGTCCATTCGTTTTATGTAATTCCCAAGGATGGACCTTCCTTCACTTCTGATTTTATTTGTATATATACATACATATATGCATACATATATCCTATGTACATAGGCACATGTGTGACGTAACAGTCAAATATTTTGTTTTTAGATATCATACAGGTTCGCTGGCATTTGGAGCCTTAATTCTTGCAATTGTCCAGCTTATTAGAGTAATACTGGAATACCTGGATCACAAACTGAAAGGTGAGATTTATTAATTTGCCCCAAGTTGTTAAGACCTTCCTTGCTAAATTACTTCCTTACTTTCCCAAGCTGTTTTTTAGCAAGGAAAAGAGACTAATTCCACATTATCCATTGTAGTTTCTTTTGAAGCCAGTAAATTTGTATTTATTTACTCAGCTGAGTCTGTGTTCTTGGGAACCTGATGCAAAGTTCTGATGGGATATGAGTCTGATCTAATTGAAAGCTAGTGAGTTAAATTTGGTTGAGAGAAAGAGTCCATACCTAGAAATTAAAAAAAAAATTCAAAAAATAACAATTTAAAGTCTTCTTCTGAATAGCTGTCTACATTCTGAAGACTGTGGATGAGTTCTATGTATGATGTACTCTCTCCTGCTCTTTTCAGGTACTCAGAACTCCTTCACTAGATTCCTACTCTGCTGCCTCAAGTGCTGTTTCTGGTGTTTGGAAAAATTTTTAAAATTTATAAACAGAAATGCCTACATCATGGTATGTGCCATGTCTCCATGTTGTCTCCCCTATCTAAGACATTAAAATATCCTAGACACTACTAGTTCAGAAGCCAGCAGTTCTTGAATCTGCTGATAATGGGATTTATGGGAGTTTTCAGTACATGTGTGTGGTTCTACTTTGAAAAAGTAAGATTTTTTTTTCCTTCTAATTTCAACCTCTTTTTTTCTCTGTCTTTGTCTATCACCCTCACCCCCAAAATAAGTGGGAAGGGATGGAATAACTAGCTAACTGTTCTTGTAATTCAATAACTGATATCCTGATTTCAATAGGAATATTAGCTTATTTCATATTGCATATTGATGACATTTCTGTTTGAAGGCAATATTTGAATAAGGAGGTCAGAAGGCATGTGATGATTGTATTTCCACCTGGAAGTTAAAAGCACAAATTCTACTAGCAGAAGTAGTGATATTTCTCTCAAATAAGCGTTCTGAGCTTCCAGATAAGAGAAGTTTGAAATCTTCACATAAATTAACATACACAGATTTCAGTCTAGGGTGTTCTGGCTTGAAGCAATTTCAGTGATTGAATGGTACAGTCACACTTCTTGTCTCAAAGGAGGTAGCTGTAGTGGGTCCATTACAACCTGTGTTGATGCAATGGATATTTCAAATTTTTGTCGTCTTGAAGAGGAAGCGTTTTTGACAATCTTCTTTACAGTTCATAAAATGTCTAAGCTGAGAGCTGTTCTAGTATAGCTTACCCTGGTGGACACTATTCCAGGAAGAAGTAGTTTTGCTCCTGAATAACTTTAGCTGCTTTACTTTATGCAGATTTCTTCTTCAGGGAAAACAGCATTACGTCCAAGGAGGTAACTACAGGGGTCAGCTCACTTCAGTTCTACAAGTGCCTATTCTTTTCCACTGACTATAAATCTAGTTTAGGTAACTAGCAAAGGGAGAAGAATCCCTCAACAAATACCTTTTTTGCTCTGCTTGGCAAACTAAGTACTTAGTCTACTACCTGTGAGATCACAAGGGGTGGCATGCTCATCACCAGGTGATTTGTAGGGCAAAGATGGATAATATTCTGTCCCAGCTGATGGGAAACATTGAGAAGTAGGGTGTGACTGAGGAAAGTGTTTTATGTTCATCTGAGTTCCAAGGCCACATATGAGGGAGAACTATGCATTACATGCAGATAGATCCTGGCATATGAGAAGGTATCCTAATTATTTAAATTATTTAACAGCCACTATTATTTTACAGATTGCCATATATGGTAAAAACTTCTGCACCTCGGCAAAGGAAGCATTCTTTTTGCTCATGCGGAATGTGGTGAGGTAAGGGACTATCAGTCCTTGGAAATGTCAGTTCTTACTGTTGCACGCTGTGGGCACACTTCCTTCCTCTCCCATATCTTCTCCAAATACTGAGTGCTGCTTCTGTCCTCAAACGTGGCCCTCACTTATCACACTCAGTGTGTATCAGCAGGCTGGCCAGTATAGTTACCTATGCAGGGTTGATGCAATCACATGATTTTGTTGTGATTGGTCCTTTAAATTCCTAAGTACCCAGTACATTGTAATAGTGCCTCCAAGAAACAAGTGGAGCCCCTTAGAGGAGATCTGCAGATACATGGGAATGGGGTGCTCATCATCTGCCATATGTTTATTTTTTTGAGCTTTGGTCCACTTGGTCTGAGAAGGGGAAAGCAGAAAAACCCAAGTCCTCAGATTCATTCAGAAATCCTATGAGGTGTCGGAGAGTGGAAGTAAAGAAGACAGAATACTTTCAAAAATATTGTCTTCAACATAACCAGATGTCCTCTGATGCTTGGAAACTTCCTGGCCCTTTTCTCCACTACTGAGTGTGTTGTGAAACTCCCTGTTCTCATCAGCACTTTCCTTCATTGCTCCTGGCTCCTCCTTTGCTACTCTAAGATCAAAACATAATGGGAGAATAACTCAGGAGCAGGCTATATAGATGCAATAGAACACAATCTAATCACCAAGCAAGAGACTCAGTAAAACTGGTTCGGTGGTTTAAAGCATTAAGTGAAGGACTGGAGGAGGAGGGAAATGGAGTTGAAGGCTGAAAGAGGAAAGTGGAAATGGTGCTTAAGAAAGAAGAGGAAAGGACTGGAGTTGGGAAATGGAATATCTTCACTGTGTTACCCTGCACTGATATGAGAACACTGATGTCCATACTGAGTAATGCCTGTGCAATAGAAAAGAGAATCTGCCTTAATTTCCTTAGAGAATATCACCTCTCTGCCTTTTATGATTTTGCTATTAATCAGTAAGAATAATAGTTAAAAGCTAGACATATAATTCTGTTGTTTCAAATAAAGATGTTTTTATCTTGGGTATTTTCTAAATCTGAATTCTGACAGGTTAATGATGATTTGTCTCTTTAGTAGTTTTTAGCGTTTATTTTTCATAGTAGTCAGTACTGTATATTCCCATATCCATAATGGTAATATGGCCCTCAGTGCTGTCAAGAGGTAGATGACACAAAGTTCATTTTTCATCCTATTATTTATCTGCAGTTTCTGGTAAGACAGACTGGCAGAAAACATTGAGCAGAAACTCCCTGCCATGCTTAAATGAGAGCTGCAGATTTATTGTCAGCTTTTCTGTCTCCTTCTTTCATCTGTAATTATCTTCCCGTTTTGAGGTTTCCTGCCTTCTGTGTTGTACCATGATATCTTAAAACAGTAGATTTGGCATATTATGGAGTCATGAAAGATAGCCAGATAGGACCCAGTGAAAAGGAGGCCTGCCAGCAATCTACATAAATATGGCTTTTTGTTTTGATACGTACTTCTATTCTGGCCTGGCTTATCTGTGCCCCTAGAAGTAAGGCTGAAATAAAAATATTTTGAAGTTTTGGGTTGGTTCATTTATTTTAACCAACCTGAGGAATAACAGTCTTCATGTCAGTCCTGTAGCAGCATTGCTACATTAAGGCCTTGCCCAACAAAGGCTCAGTGCTTTTTTGCCTCCTGAGATTATGCTGTAGCAACACCCATCTCAGCACTGCCCGTCTGTGTTGTCAGCCTGTAAAACCAGCAGAAGACAGCTTCTGGTCATGTTTTGCAATTATCCATAGATTTAAGGAGAAAGAACACAAATGTCTGGTTTGTGATGATTATGTCTCATTTGTCCTTCGCTAAACAGGGTTGCAGTTCTGGACAAAGTTACAGACTTCCTTCTATTTTTGGGGAAAATCCTTGTCGCTGGTGGTGTAGGTAAGATGTTTGTTTGTTTTCTAAATTATATGCTCTATTTTCCGGTACCCACAAGCATACCTGCCATATTAATTTATGCTTAGTTAGCAGCTGGAGGTTCTCATTGGTCTGACTATATGGAAATCTGTTTCTGTGTTTCTAGGATTTGCTAGATTGATCAAAAAGCTTGGGATTTTTTCCCCTTTCTCCCCCCTGCCCAATACCTGGCTTGCCTTGACAATATCTTTTTTTCCATAATTGCTTTTACAGGTCTTGAATGTGTGGCTGCAGCCACAGCATCATAGCTGAATTAAACCAAATTCAGGTCCAATAAGTCACAGTCAGTTCTCCTTTTGTAAGAACTGAACAAAATTGCAAATGAGATTCACCTGGTAACAGACAATTGCCTACTAATGTGGCGGTACAGGTCTGCAGGAATGGACCTGAAGCTCTGCTGTATTTGAGCCCATTATATCTATAAGCTATAGTAAAAGAAATAGGGTATTTCTAGCATCCTTATAGGGTTTTCTTGGTTATCAGTAGATATCAAATAGATTATTCAGTAGAGTAGTTGTCAAGTAGACTATTCATGGTTTTCTGTGACAGAAAAGTGTTTTTCTATTTTTTTAAATGAAGCACTTTCAGAAATTCAGGTTGGCAGTGTTCTGTTGTGTTTTTTCCAAATTGTCACAGCAGTTTCAAAAAACTATTTTACAAATAACCATATTTGGTATTCTGTATACTTTCAAAGTTAACTAATTAATTATATTTTAATCAAAAGTAAAACTAGTACCAAGAGCTGATATAAACTATTTTGTCATCACTGTAGAATTACATTATTTATTAATTTTGCTGTTAAATTCAGTAGAATGGTGAAACAAAACAACTCATTAAAGTCTTTCTGGGCCCAGTCATATCTTTATGGTAATTGATTAATTTACATAGCTCTTCTGTTAGATAATTAGTATTGGAAGATATATTGTTTACAAACTTTTATTGAAATCAGCCTTGGATCTGTTGTCTGTCCTATCCATTCTTTAGATCCTGGGAAACCAGGGTTAGCATGGGAATCACTAATTGCCTGTGCTTCTTGCAGGTGTTCTTGCATTCTTTTTCTTCACACAGAGAATACCAGTCTTTGCACAGGAAGTGCCAATGCTAAATTACTACTGGGTACCATTGTTGGTAAGGCAACCATTTCATTTCCTGAATGCCTGGGGCAGTTTGAGGTGCTCAGACTACTCAGGGCATGGTCTGGTAACAACTTCTTTGGTCAGCATCTCATTGGCATAGTATCCACTCAAGTGAGGACTGAGCTGCTACACTCCAGTCCTTGGGATCCTTCACGCAGAAGTGGCACTGCAGTGACTCTGAATCATCAGCAAAATTAGGTTTCACATCTCCTCAGAGTTCCCAGACAGCAAGACACTGATGACAATATGGCTTCTAATGGAAGGGATTTGCAATGCATCTCTCTCTCTCCTTTTGTAGGCCCCTCTTAAACTTCAGAACATCTCTAGGCTGAGTGGTTCTTGAAGGAGTTCAGAATATTCTTGGCATATATTCTCCTCAGAGGTTGAAATAATAGCTTCAGTTTGGAGCTATTTCCAGCTAGAAAACTGGAAGCCACCACATGTTAGGATGCAGTGTTTTGAACTTGTGATGCCTGTCCACAGCAGTAGAAACCTTTCGGAGAAATACAGAGCTGACATTAAATTCTTCTAAATTTTTGTAGCAGACTAGGCTTCTGACCTGTGTTAATATTACCACAATGATGCTGAAAGAAATTTGGAGGTTTATTGTGGTTTGTTTTTTGTAGACGGTCATCATTGGCTCCTACCTAGTTGCACACGGGTTCTTCAGCGTCTATGCAATGTGTGTCGACACGCTTTTCCTCTGCTTTTGTAAGTACAGTAATACCTGCAAGTCATGGAAAGAGGAGTAGAAAATCACCTTATCTATTCCTTACAGAAGTCTGGTGACATACTAGCAAACTGCATGAAAAATTAGCAGCTTCTTCTTTTCATATTGGCTCTGTGATACAGTCTTCCATGCTTTAGTATTCAAATTTAATTACTTTAAGAAGTCTAAGGTAGCTTTATGGTTTATGGAAATGTCTGGCTTTTGTTTTTCAGATGTTCCTTAGATTTTATTAAGTTTGCTTCTGGGTGCTTTATGAAGAGCCCTGTACAGTATTGATTTGCTTAAGCATCTTGACAGTAACAAATATATTCCTTGGTATATAAGTGGTACTTTGTCTTCAGTTTAATAACCCTGAACAAAGTATTATGCTGAATTACCTCAAAGATTCTGTGAAATACCACTTGAAGCTAACTGTCCCCCGGACTTCCAACGGCACACAATCATAGGCCCTGTCAAAGGGACTACTGTTCAGGCTGTCCAGTCAGAGAATACTAAAATCGCAAAAGAAATCTGCTGTTCTTGAATTAGGAAATGATTATAAGAAGCAGATGTCCTTAGCATGTAGTACCTTCCATTGTGCTGTGTTTTTCTATAATGCAAGCCATTCTGGTAGGTCCAGGTATGTTGCCATGTGACAGGACACAAGTAGAAGTTAGTTACATGGTAGTGATTGTTCTTGAAATTCTAAAATTATTTGATAATACTAAGGGAAATAGTCATAGGCTTGATCTTTCATAAATATGCACTATTTATTACTGAAGTGAGGTAAACTTGGTAATACTGATTCTTTAAACACTCACTTTAAACAGTCACTTCCATAGAAACTAAGGTTAGCAGAGATTCTGAAAAACTGGGTTGCCAAAGAATCTCAGGAACAAGATCAGTTAGAAACCTCAAAATTGGTATTTATTTGAGAGCTGCATCCTTTTAATCTCATTTTATGGACTTTGGGTCTAAGCAAACATGATCATAGGCAGACATAGCACTAATAACACTCAACTCCTACTTTTCTTTAGGGAAAAAAGTAATGTCTACCTTGTTGTTTTAAATTCATATTCTGTTCTGCTTCCCATGCTCCCATTAAGTAATGAACAATAGATCAGATAGAATATTGTTAATTCATGGCAACATGTTTTCAAATGAACTTTATCTTAGGCAGTGAAAAATGGTCCAGTTTTAGAAAGTGCTTAACTCCATGGCTGTCTTTGTGACACATTTTCTAGCAAGAGATTTCCAAAATTCCAGGGTTAGTAAAGGAATGAGAGTTTCTGAAAATTTCTACCTATACTGCCAAACCAAAGATCTGGAGAATAAAAGTGATATATTGCTATCATTAAAACATGGCAAGATGATTGTGTCTCTGCATCATGTAAAATGTCTTGTGGTCTAAGAAAATAGAAATGTTATACTGCCCTTCATCAACTTAATAATAAAGCTAAAGTATCTCGATTGAGTTTCTTTTGATGTTGGGTCTATTGCTTTCTCCTTTTTTCAGTTCTGTTTGTGTCTCTGTGCATGTGGTTGTATCACTGTTTCCTTTTTTGACTGGTTTTGCTCTGTAAATTCAGGTGAAGACCTGGAAAGAAATGATGGATCTACAGCAAAACCCTACTTCATGTCAGCTAGCCTCCACCGAATTCTAGGGAAGAAGAAACTAAGCCCTAAGAAGGCAGCAGGATAATGAACGCTAAACCTCAACATCAAAAAGTGTCACTTTTAAGCAAAACGTGTATACAGTAGGCAAAAGTAAAAACTGTAAATTATGCTTCTGGTTAATGGGTGATTCTTTTTTCCTTTTGCTTATATATAAAAAAAGAGCAAAATTGGTAACATTTAACTAGTTTAAATGCTTAAAGTAACAGCTGTGAAAACAAGGCCACATTTTAGTTTATAGAGTGCCTATGAAAAGGAAAATGTAAATTTGAAACTTTTATAAGTGTATAATGATGTTTTAATAACTTTTGTAATACATGTTGCTGCCTTAGGTGACAGCAGTTTTGATAATGTTTCTTACAAGTGTATATTTGTAAAAGAAATTCAGGCAATTTTTTGAAAGCACTAACGTATAACCTAATTAGCCATAAAAAAGATAGTTTGAGACTCTAGTTAAATGAGGAGATGGTACTAAATTTGTAAATATGGTGCTATGATTGTATTTTTTTGTACAAGCTGGTTCACAGCTATTTAAACTGTGATTATACATGCATTAATGATTACCTATACTGAAAAATGTAGTGATATTTTAATCACATCTACAACTGCATCTTTTAAGACATGATGGTACCCTGCAGATCCCAAAGAAGGTAGTCAGAAAATACTTAAGTTGATACTGCTTAAAGTGAAGTTTTCTGCGAGTTGTGCTTAAAAGATTATGTAACTGAGAGAAAGTCCCACTGCAGCTGAAGTGATTTGTGGTTCACACAAATGAGGTTTCATCTGGTACAAGATGGTGAATGTATAATTTTTAGCTGATGTCTAAGAGAGATGCACATGTGTTAATATCCCCCTGTCCCTGACAAGTCTCTGAATGCGTTCTGTGTTACAAGGAGGTTGAGCTCCACCAAAGGGGAAACTAAATGCAGTCGTTTTTTTAATTGAATTAAAGTCTTTGCTCTGTGTGTGTGCACAAAGAGTTCCATTGCCTCTGCCCAGCTTAGAAGGGCTCCTGCCAAGCCATTGGAATGACTGTGCAGGTGCAGAGCACCAGGGCTGCACTTTCACCACGTCTCTGTGCTCCCAGTGGCTCACACAGTAAGGTACTAGGACATTGAACTCAAATCTTCTCATGGTGCAGGATGAATTATTCAACTACTGAGAGATGCTCTTAAAGATTTAGTTTGCTTTTTGATTATTAAATTTGCCCAGTCATTAGTACAAAGTCATTAATACACCTGTTGCTAGAAAGCACATTAACATTTGATGTGGTTTATAACCCTCCCAGTAGTGGAACTGTCACTGCCATTAAGTAGCAGCTCTGATGATCGAATAAGTCTTAACACCGGAGAGTTTATCAAGTCTGTTACTGCCAAGGCAGAGCTAAAAAGACTTTAATTTATTAGTCTCCTGGGGGAGCCAAGGACCCAGCCATACTGAGGCCTGCCCCTAGTTTTCATGGATTCCAATGCATTGAAGAAGTTATTCCAGCACTTTCCAGGAGTGGCATGTGCCATACATTCGCCAGTTCTGTGACAGGAGTTTAGCACCTGGAAATACTTTTCTAACCCTAGATGTCCATTGGTGTCACAAAAAGAAGTGCACATTCTTTTCCAGATTATTTGAAGGCAAGTTTCTGGGGAAAGTTTACTGACCATCTACATCCCAATGGGATTTTGCTCTCTAACTTACAGCTCTGGTTTGTGATGTCTGTGATCACTGCAAAGGCAGTAATTCTGTCCTTGATGCCATGGGTCTGGGCTCATGTTGATATACAAGCAACCACCATCCCCACCCTTGTAGTTGTGGGCATGGTTAGAGCTTGAAATTTAGTGACCTGAGGTGCAGGTGGGAGTATCCTTTTAAGCTTTCTCTTTGGTCCAATGTTTGCTGGAGCCCTTTTTGCTGAAACAAAAATGAGGGGTTCAGTTTAGGACTCAAATAATGTAAAATAAAGGCATATGGTAGCTACTGATTATAGGAACCTTTAGATTTTCGTAACCCCCCACTGAGATACCCTAGAGGAAACTTGACTTTTAGAAAGGACTGAGAAACCCACTTTTGGGGAAAAAAGGACTCCTGAGAGATGAAGTTTTTCATTATCATCAGCATCATCATTATCATTCCTTTCTCATTATGTGCATGGTATGGATTACACAAATTCCCCCATGATTCTAATATTTTTTGAGAATTAAGTCAGTAACTTTTGGGGGTATGTGTAACCATTCTGTGATTAAAGAAGCTGTTTGTCTTATTACAGTCCATGTTCTAAATATTTTTTTTTCTTTTAATACTACTGATTAATTTTCAGCTAAAGAAACTGTAATACATAATCTATATTTCTACTGGACTTGAGTGTCTTACTGGGAGCTCAATTGAAAAAGCATATTTCTGAATATAGCTTGCTTTTTTATCATATGAATGTAACCACAGAGTTTACTAAGAATAAAACATAATAGAAATAATATACAGTTATTTGATTAGAAAACTTTTGTAACAAACCTATGCATTTACTAAAGGAATTTCTAAAAGTGAACGTTTTAAATTGTATTATTATTTATATATGGTAAAAATTATATATATGTATAAATTTGCTCCTCTCGCTATTTTGTGAAAGTATTTAGAATGTAACTGATCATCCTTTCTGAGAAGAAAATTTAAAAGCCATTTTCTTACGATGTAATTGTGAGAACTGTGAAAATACAAAGCAATACCATGTAGATTTTGTAATCAATAAATACAGTAAATAGTAGGTATTTAATATTAAAATTGGCTTTTTAGAAATAGATTGCTAATAATTAGGTAAAATTAATATAAATATTTACTTGGGAAAGGTTCACCTAAGATGTTTCAAGACTATCATATTATAATGATTCCTAATTAATCCTGTGGGCCAGAGTCTGCATATGTGCACCACAGAGGAGGTACTAATATTGACATTTCTGGATTTGGACTTTTACTTTGTTGCTTGCTTTAATATAAAATTAAAAATTCCTTTTTCACTTTAGAGAGTGGAAGATGGTAAAATTTGCCACGTGCTTTGCTGCTGAGCCTGCCGGGGCTGGTGGTGCAGTGCCCACAGTGCCGCCAGCGGCACTGGTCTGTGCTGGCGGTGCTGACAGATGCAGGGCGTGGGAGAGCCCAGAACCAGCAGGTTCCTGTGCTGCCCAGGGCATGCCAGGGTCAGGGCTGTGAGTCAGGCTCATGCCAGGCACCTTCCCCCGGGAGAAGCTTGCTTCTTTCTGAAGAAATACCCTTTTACATGAGTAGAAAAAAAAACATTCTCAAGATCACAACAAGCAGAATGTAGAAACCAAGACAGTAGAAAACACCTGCTATCACATCCATGTGATCATGTTTGTTTAGTTTGGTTTGGATTCATTGTATCTCACTAAAGCATATTACTGAGTGGCTTTCATTTACATGTTTTATACCAAAGTTTTAATGTCAAGCCTTCAAATTTTGTAAGAAAAAAGAAAAACAAACCACAAAAAAAAAACCACCACACACGCACACGCACACATAAACACAAAACCATCAAAGCAAACCAAAAAAAAAAAAAAAAAAACCCCAAAAAAACCACCATGGAAACAAAACACAGAATCAAGAAGATGGGATCGTTTCTTCTGATGAGGGTTTTTTTTTTCAAAACAGTATTCAGCAGATGATTCTTGGGTGATCCAAGGATGCTGAGTATTCTTTTAAATGTTAGTATTTAATGAAATATTTTACTATTGCATGTTCTGCTGTAGAACGGGAAAAATATTTTGGTGGATGCAATGTCAGGCTGATTCTTCAATTGTCAGTAAGCGTTCTTCCACAAATGGGTTGTCAGAGAAGTGGTTATGAAGAATAAACTGACTGTTTTTGAGTAACCCAGAATGTCTCCCTTTGACCAGTTGCTCAGCCTGGACAGCTGTATCCTTGCAGACAAAGTGCCTTACTGGCTGTTACTTCACCTGACTTATATTTTGAAATTCATTTATACCATGTAGACTACAAAACAGAAAAGGCTAGAGAGGAAAACCAACACTTTGTTTCATATTGACTAACAAAAAATCAACTGTAGTAAGGATGTCAGATGTGTTTGCACTGTGTGATGCAGCACCCTGTTGCTGTTGAGAGATTATGAAAGTTGATGGTGTGGTCTGGGAGAAAACGTGACAATAGTGTTGCAAATAAATGAAAACAATGCAAGACTGTTCCATTTTTATACAGTAGATTTTTAAAATAGCTTTAATTTGTGGTATAGTGGACTTCTGAGTAGGGCCTATTCTGCTTTCTGTTTACAATGATCATGTGTATTGTACCTGTGTAACTGTGGGTAGAACTGGGCTCTTGCTACTTACAAAAGAAGGAATAAACCTAAAAATTACATGTATGTTACTGTAATACATCTATTTGTGTGTTTATAAGCATAAAGTTCCTTCTCCATTTCAAGACTGATAATTTCCTATTCTGGAACTGTTTTATAAAATGTTTTAAATTTTTAAACTTTTGATACAGGCAATGATTTTTGGGGTAATTTGTAATTTGTGCTGCACTGTAAACAATTAGAAAATGAGTGTTTCTTCATGTTCAAGTAACACTAGTGCTATTAGTATTAAAATTGTCTGTTACTCTATGCTACAGAATGTCCACACGCTTTTGTCCCAAATAATGAGTTTTAATGCCATTAAAATGGCTCTTTGAGGTTTAAGAAATCAAAGGTAGGTTTCATTAATATGGTTCTTAAGATTGTACTGTTTTGTCACGAGCACAATGATTTGAGCTCTAAATCCTGTTGCTTCTGCTATGCAGAAATAGAAACCTATTGTTTAAACATCTTTGATAACGGAAGTGCTTAATTCTATTGTTACTTCGCCGTTTTACAGTTCTTGGGGATTGTTCTAATAAAGATTTCGATACAAGCCGGAGTGGCTCTGCACCGCGCCGGGCTGTACGCGGGGCTGTGCGGGGCGGGCTGGGGGCGGCTCCGGTGCGCGGGGGCGGAGCGGGGCGCGGGGTGCGGGACGCGTTCCGTGCTGAGGAGCAGAGGAGGCCCGGAGGGGTCATGCTGCTGCCCCTGGTTGGAGGGGAATTCTGGGGTTTATTTATAAAGGATGGAAGATTGTTTGTTGCATTTTTTAATTTAATATTTTTTTTAACAATGTAACAATGAACCATACTGGGTTTTATCTGAATTGAGATCTTATATGAAGCAAGGTGAATGGCTGAAATGATACCATAGAACTCAGTAGAAATCTTTTTTGGAGTTTAGGAGGCTTACGGTCATATTTTCCCCTGTCTTTGTGAGAAGTGAAGAAACCTTTATTGTACACCATGAGTTGGCTGAGCATCACAGGCAGATGACCTGTGGTAGATGACTCCCAATCTGGTCAGGGGCCTGTTGCATATGTTTTTCTGGAGGACAGGAAAAAAAAAGGCCACCACCAAACCCCGTGCAAAAGGTTTTCAGGGATGGGGATGGATTTCAGCAGATGTAGCAGTGGAGCAATTATTTGGAGTTGGGAAAAAGGAAGAATTTGGACTCAAGGTTAAGGTATGCCTTATAAGTCATTCCATATGTGGGGAGCCTTGTCTGAAGTTGCTTCTGGCATTCAGCATTCCCTGCAATGAGACCTTAAATTACCAAAGCAAGTTTTTGAGTTAGCAAGGAAAGCTGTATGTTTGGGAGTCAGTGGCTGAATAGCAAATAGACGCAGATACAGTCTGTGTGTATGCATAGTTGCAGCATATATCATTTAAGAGAAAATGAGTGTGTATGAGGCTTATACTACATTATGCTATTTTTTAGCAAGGCTTAAATGCTATCAGCGTTGGTGGGGAGACTGGTTGGTTTGTGCTGTCTGGTCACTGGCCATGAGTAGCAGTACTTGTTCAGCCCAGGTCTGTGCCACAAGGGGTGGTAGGCAGCTGCTGGAAAAGGGAACTTGTGACAAAGTTGTGCATTTAATCCCTGCATGAGCTCTTCACCTATGAGTTGGATTTGATGATCTTTGAAGATCCCTTCCATCTCAGAATATTCTGTGATTCTGTGAAAGCAAATGCTTATGGAGAGGAGAATGACACAGCCTAGGAGGTTTAGATGTGGGCCACTTCAGTCCAAACTAATCAGTGAAAGGTGAACAAGCAAAAGTGATCTTTAGAGGAATATTGGTGTTCCCTGAGCCCAGGTTAGCAGCTAGACTTACTGAGGCCATGCCACATGGGAAGAGGTACATTACAGTTGCTTGGAAGAGATAAAAGACACTATTGTTCTATGGTAAATCTCCATGAAAGCGTATTTGTTTCCCTTTTATTTGTTTTGGGGTTTTTTGTTTTTTCAACATTTAATCTGATGCAACTTTGACAAACAAAACCTACATGCATTTTGTTCTGTAAAACATTGATGCTCATTTTTTTTTATGCCAGAAAGTAACAATAGCAGTAAAGCAGTGTGTAGGTTATAGAATATTGAGTTCAATTAATCATGTATAGCCTTGCAGAATCTAACATAACGCACCCAGACACTGGAAGGTACAATTGTAATATTAAAGTTATTTTAAGAAGATTCTGGAGCATAGAGGACCTTTACTATGTGTCTCATATGTATGTTTTTATTTTTATTAAAATCTGGACATTTTTATTTTTTGAACTAACATCAGTATCTCCTGTTAACACATGCAGCCTGTTGGAACTGACTGCAGCTATTCATTATGTTGTCCTCCTTCAGAAAATGTCAGGTTTACTAACAAAATTGCTTTCTTGCCTCTCTTAAAATTTGTTTTCAGACTGATGGTTTTTTTAATCTCACATGGTTATCTTGCTATTCACATTACATTTAAATCTAATGTTGGCCACATGCCATAGAAACTTTAATCCACATCCAGATTAATTCAAAGCCTACCTGGAGCTTCTTCTCATGCACCAGCAGTCTGCTCTCTAGTCTTTTCTAGGGATCCTACTTTTACAGAGTTTGTTCTTTTTGGTTAGCCCAGAGGAATGTCATATGGTGTAAGTCTCCCCAGCAGCCCTGGAACGTGGACCAGTGACCCATGTCACCACTTGATGGAATGCAGCACGGCTACTCGTTTTCAGTCAGTAGGCTTCTTTTCAGAAGCACCTATGTTCTGAGCACCTTGCTCATGGAGGTGCTTTCTCTGGCACTGGTGCCAGTGCTCAGGAAGAGGGGAAAAGAGGCTGCCTCACTCTGCTCTGGGACCACGAGCTGTCATTGTGTTGCAGTTACTCTGGGCCACAGTACAGGTACAGCAGTAGTATGGTCTGACTGAAATTTCTGCTAAAGAAGGAAATTGGAACGTTACTGGCCTGTTACAATCAAACAGACCCCGGTCATAAATATGGGATGAAAATATTTCTGGTTTTGTCTCAGCCAGCGTCTGATGTGTACCATCTTTGTGGTTTGACTTTACAAATGAATGTTGCTTTTGGTGCATTTTCTGCAATAACCTGGCAGGTTCCTTTGCAAATCCACACATCCGCAGATGGCTTAAAGAAGGGAAGGATTGTTTCATATGGAGCTTCATAACGTAGTTTCTGGTTGCCATCATTTTCAGCATATCTGACCAACACAATTTCCTGTCTTGAAGCAACTTTCATTTCATTAAGTCCCAGGTTCTCATTTCTGTTGGTTTGACTAGGCTCTCTGGGCAATCTGTTTTAATTTTAGAGTTAATTTTAGCCTGTTAATGAAAGAGGCTAAGTTTGGAAAAGACTCAGTCCTCCCAGGAGAAGGGTCTATACTTATTTTCCTTCCAATGATAATGTCATAAGGGTTTTGTAGTTTTTATTTTACTTTTTGTTTGTTTGTTTTAGTTTAAAAAGTTCCACTTTCTTACAGAAATACTGACAATTTGAACAATCATGACATTGGTATGTTTAAACTCACAAGTGGGCTGCTTTTTTGATAACACTAACAATGGCCCAAAACAGATTAACAAATCAAAGTATAACAGTCAGCTGTAGTGGTTCTGGGTCACCAGAGCTTAAAAAAATTGTTGTTAAACTCTTTGTGAGCTTTATATTAGTGGCTCTTATATTGCAGGGACAACTCTTTCTGAACTGATGTGATAAACCTGTGCTGGCATATTTGAATGTATCAGCGGAGTGCGTGTCTGAGCATCCCAGCCCACCCAGTCACCTGTACAAATTCCTGCAGAGACACTGAAGATCAAAGTGCATGTTGAAAGGTAACATTTTTATGCATTTAACTATGCATAACATAGATACACACTTCTTTGATCTTAATATCATATTTTGGCTGAATGCCTGTATCCATATTACAGGAGTGCTAGTATTTCTGCTGATTTTATCTCAAAATAGTAAAAAAAAGTGGCTGTTACTGATTCCTGTGTTCAGCATATTGCAGCTTACATAGTATTTAAATTATATTTTTATTATTAATTTACTTGAATTACTGCTAACTTATATTAAACAAAACTCAAACTCTTCCCTGTGTGATTTTTTTTAAGGGAGTACCTATCTTAAACATGTAATGGCCTAATTTTAAACGAAGAAAATGTGTAATTTTTTATATACTAGTATACTGTTACTTGTCCTAAGTTTTCCCTATTTTGGTAATAACCTTTGGTTTTGGGAGACTTGGAGCAGGAGACATCTTTCTCCCATGAGATTAACTTGGGAAATAACATTGGTGCAGTTTGTGATGGCAGCTGTTACATCATTCAGAAAGGGGATGATTGCAGTATGGCAGTTTTAAAAAAACTCTGTCAGCCCAACACCAGCTGCTGACAGCTCTGGCACTGGCAAAGGAAGACTCAAAGGCTAATCTCCTATTTTCAATGCATTCTGCATTGCCCCAACCACAAATATCTCTCATGGTTTTTAATAAATAAATATCTGCTTATGAGCTCAACAGTAGCAAAAGATCAGTGCTCCTGCTTCCCATTTTCATAGGGAAACAGGAAAATTGCTCCCGCATGTATTTTAATCATGTTCTGACTTTGGAACTGAACAGAAAGATGTGTTTCATAAATAAGCTTAAACTTGCTTTTGTTTCAGGCAACCTGAAGCTACTCTAGTCTTCAAATAAGACTGAATTACCTTTCCTTAAAGGGGCCCAGTGCAAGTGCCCAAGTTGCATTTCAAATTACCAATTGATGTTAACATCTAAATGAACATTATTTAGCATTTAAACTGGTAAAACTCAGACAAATGAACAAAAAGAAGTTTGTATACTGGTACACATGTACTTTGGTAGCATGCAGATATATGGAACTAGCTTAGGTATTGGAAATGGCATCTGGAATTCAGTATTCTACCTAGGGCATTTAAATTAGAGGTTATGTATGCTCAAATAAAATGTAAGGTCAGTCAAGTTCCACTACAGCCCCCATCTTGAGTGTTTTGTGAAAAAAAAAAAAAAAGATTTTAAAAAGGCAGGATAATAAAAGCCTTAAACCACTGGAGATTGCTTTGGCTACTCAGATTAACTCAGACATCTTGAGTAGCACTTAAAGTAGTGCCAGCATGTAACTTAGAGAACTTTATTAATTCAGAGCTTGCCATCAAAGTTCTGCTCACAAAACTCATCAACAGAGAACACTACCTTTTCCTAACTGAAATGGTTTGACCAGCACCATTAAGGAATTCACAGAGTAGACACTAATGCATAGTTGGGAGAGGAAAAAAAAGGGAGATGGACACATACACCCTTCTGATGCAAATAAAGTTTAAGTGAGCAAGGGGGATCTGTCTTAATCATTGAAGGAAACTAGTCTTTGAAGATAAAAACCTGTTGAATTTGTAGCAACCTTTGTGCATCAAATTAGTGTATCAAAACATGCTCTGCTAGTAAGTCTTGGTACATTAACAGTTCTAAATACAGACTGTAGTGCATTTGACTGAATTCCAGACATTGTTCATATGCAGTTGGATATTGGTCAGTTAAAATGCCAAACTAGATTTTACTTTTAAAAAGCAGACTGTTGAAGTATTGCCTCTTATTTGTTGTCCTGCATAAAAAAAAAAAAAAAAAAGATAAAAACATGGAAGAAAACAAAAGCTGAAGTAAGAAAGATTCAAAGCATTAAAGCAGATGTAACTTCAGGTTCTCCACTTGCCAAGGCACAGTTTAAAATCTGTTCTACACATCCCCAGTTTCCTTCCCCCAAGGTGTGCATGCTCAGAAAAGCACTGCTTTGCATGTACCCACTTGTATAGCATATATTTGGAATGTTTAAAGACCCATAGAAGTCCATTAAATGATTTTTACTATCACTGGAAATAGATATGAGCCCTCCTGAAGGACTTCAGTGTAATGTTCCTCAGTATACCAGGGACCTTCTCTTAAAATTGAAGATTCAATTTAAGCACTTGACAAATGATTGCAGTTGAGCCATAGACACAGCAACATTTTTGCTTGGCATGCTACAGCAGAAACTTTATTCAGTTCTTTTTGAAAATATTTGCAACTAAAATTTATTTTTGTAAACTCACAGAAATAAGCTTTAACATATAGGCTGTATACAACTCAAATACAGGTAGTACTTTTACCAATAACTTACAAATACAAACTAATGATAAACTACAATTTCACAAAGAATTGTAAACATTTTGCACAATTGTCAGTCCTTTCTTTTAGGCAAAGTGCTCTTTTGATGACAAATAAATTAACACACACATAACTAGAGCAGACTACTTCCAGACAATACAAAAAGGTGTTTAATAAGGCTTGTAAACAATGTAATAGTTACTTATGCAGAATCCATAAAAGTGTCTTGCAGGCTAAATAGACGTACATACCTGGGCAAAAAATTTCTTGAAAATGCTTGGGGTGTTAAATAAAAACTTAACATTAATATCTTTCCAATGATATTTTCAATACACTATGACTTAAGGTTACATCTTTAATAGTTTAGATCCCTGATGGAAAGGAATTAGGTGTGACTTAGTGGCAGTTGTGTCATTGAATGGGGTAGCAAAGGCTGAAGTCCAAGAGCTGTAGGTGAATGAGCTACAAAAACAGAAACATTTACCAGTCAACTTCATTGAAAGTAGCAAAAGATTAAGTCAGTAAATCCACTGGGTAGCAACAGTTCACTGTCCCTACCTTGCAGCATGTTGTGTTTTTTCTAACCCAGCATCTGCATTCCTCCACCCACAGGCCACCCTTAACATCACTGCTGGAGGAAAACAAGCTCAGGCCACAAATGCGGCTCAGCCTGGTTCTCCCAAAACCTTCACAGTCCCTCCTAATCACAAATAAGAGCCAAAGTTGTTGACTTGCTGGGTCATAAGACAAACAAAGACTGAAATAGTTTTGACCACCAGGCTCTCCCCCTCCCTCCCATTGTGTGTTACTGAGAGGAAAGCTGAAGCTCTCAGAAAATTTGCTGGATTGAGCATACTCACAGTCCATGGGACAAAAGCCAGGGAGCAGGTGGCAAACAGTTTTCATTACAATTAAGTATTATTAAAATATGTGAAGTAGATGTTTAAATAGTATTTAATTTCTTATTCTTGTTTTAATAGTCTAGAAGAAGCACAAATAGTGGTCTTCATACTCAGATCTTCAGCCATGCTACTGCAGTGAAGGACTACTGCTTTCTTAATAAGGTGTAGATAGCAAATACAGTACTGATATATCCATTAGATTTCTTTAATCAGAACTTGGTGAACACTTCTTGCTATAGCTGATAATGTTTTTATGAGGAGAAAAACAGCAAAGCTGTTATACCTACCATCCATGTAGCTGTGCAGAGCAGTGAGCATAGTCCCATCCTGGGGTACATATGCAGAGTATGCCATTTCTTCTAACATGGGTGGAGACAACCTGGAGGGCTGAACTGCTGTGACAGGAGCAGTAGATGAATGATTAGGACTAACATGTTTCTTATGGCGTGCTCTGCAATTCTGAAACCACACCTGAAAAGGAGGGAAACATACATCACATTGACAGATTGCATTCAACACTAGGACAGCAACAACCTTGGAGCTTATCTTAAGCTGAGTTTGCATAGTTAATTTTGCCTTTGATACAATGCTGACAGTCCAAATGGAGAAATACTCATTCTAAACGTACAAGTGTGGTCAAGTCAGGAATGCGTCTTCAGTACCCAGCAGCCCACCAAGGACAGGGACTGGCACAGTGAGGGACTGGGATCTCCCAGGGCTGGTGTCCCCCCAGGCCAAGCAACATCACCTGCAGCCCCACTCTACTTGGACCACACCACCCAGCATATCCCAGACAGAGTCTTCTCCCTGCCTGGAACTACTGACAGCAAAGCATCTTTCACATATGATACCCACTTGGCCTTTCCACATGGAAAAGAACACAAGATTCCTTTTTTTTTTTTTTTAAGGATTGATTGCAACAGCCAGATTCCTCATTTCTATAAAAACACTCTGTCAACCTTCCAGACTAGAATGAGCCAAGGCAGCTCAAAAATTATTTTTATTTATATTAACATATAAATATATTTTTATTATATTTTTAAAAACACATTTACATATAAAAATGCATCCACGTGCTTGCTGAGAGACATCTTCGAGCAAGGATTCCAAGTTTGTGCTTCAGTTTTTTTTGGCATGGGTATATATTTTAACTCTGCTCTCTAGAACAAATGACTAGATATTCACTTGCTCCTAATGTCATACCACAGATGCTTTCAAAAAGAATGCGGGTCTTAAGAACAGACTACTACAGTCTAATATGTATTTGGAGTAACTTAATGCCAATTTCTATACTGTTTAGGCTGAGAAGTTTCTTCTTAGAAGACAATCCCTCCACACAAGTGCAAGAGGAATACAGCAAGTTTTCCACATTATGATGCTTGTTCTAGACCCATTCCTGACTAAGGATATTGTCCGAAGTTAAAAGAGATTAGGACCTTTTTCCATGTTAGAATAACCTCAAAGAAAATTGTAGTTGAGCATTTCCAATGGATGAGTACCAGACTGTGAGTCAAACTTCACACTGTTACCTGTATAACCCGCCTACTCAAGCCTGTTCTTTCAGCCAGTTTCTGAAGTGTTTGTGCATCTGGATTGTTGTCCTGAGCAAACTGTGCTTGCATAACCTGAAAAGGCAAGATATGAGATTGCAGGGGCATTTGTGTTGAAAGCCACATTAGACAGTCTTCTCAGACTAAGGTACTACTCCTTGCCTATCTTCAGGAATTTTTTTTTTTTTTTTTTTGTGCTCACTAGTCTTTAGAGAGTAACCAATACATTAAAAACAAAAAAAAAACACACAAAAAAAAAAAACCCACAAAAACCCCAAAGCCAAAGTACAAGTCCTTGCTATGCTTGGGTGAGCTGCAACATTTACCAGAAATTAGAGAAATCCATTCTGCTTGGCAGTAGTAAAAACTGGAAGAAGTCCTCTGTAAGATTGCATTAAAAGAACTGTAGGAGAAAATTCACTGCAAAGCAACTTTAATATGCTCAACAAACACCTATAGCAGCAGACCACAGCATGAAAAGAGCATGATCCACCACTCTGAACTTGTCAATCACTATCTGCATCCTATGTTATATGGAGTAATTGATCTTCTTTTCATCTCCATGGAGGACGCAGGAATGCTCTGTGTTTCCTTTGCTTTTCACCAACCCCAGAAACAGAGGCTCCACTGTGGTTGACCTAACATTTCTGGTGGCTTGGTTACTCATTTTTTGACAGAAAATTGAAGTCAGCACTTGTCTTAAGGATATAAATTACACCTTTTTTTGTTGAAGTAAATGTCAATTTGGCCTACATCCTGAATACTTTCATAGGTTTTAAGGATTTTCCCTGTTTATGAAAGTAGGGCTTCATGGATTCCTGCAGGGTATCTTTAGTAATTTCAAAGCATTATTTTGTTTTTGACCCATCAAATTTTGCCTGGCTTCATCTTTGAAGATTCAGACTACTACGTTCCACATGCAGAAACTCTTTGCTTTTGCAATTTTTCATAGGATCACAGACTGGTTTGGGTTGGAAGGAACCTTAAGAGCTCACCTTGTTCCAACCCTATGCCATGGCAGGGACACCTCCCACTGTCCCTGGCTGCTCCCAGCTCCAATGTCCATCCTGGCCTTGGGCACTGCCAGGGATCCAGGGGCAGCCACAGTTGCTCTGGGCACCCTGTGCCAGGGCCTGCCCACCCTACCAGGGAACAATTCCTGCCCAATATCCCATCCAGCCCTGCCCTCTGGCAGTGGAAGTCATTCCTCCTTGTCCTGTTACTCCAGGCCCTTGTCCAAACTGCCTCTCCAGCTCTCTTGGAGCCCTTTTAGGTCCTGGAAGGTGCTAAAGAACAAAACAATCAAAAAAGTGTGGACATTCTTTTCTACAAGTACTTTGTGAGGTAATTACATGCTGCCACTCTGACAGCACACTTATCCCACTGCTTCTCTTGTTAGTCTTATAGTCTTCTCTTGTAAGGTCTTATAGCAGCCCCGAGGATAGGTGCAGAGGTGCAGCAAGCAGATAGAAAGCATCATTAAATAACAAGACGCCATAACACCTCAAACACCTGCTGAAATATGCTACAATCTACTTTAAAATGTTACAATCTACTTCAAACAGGAAAAGAAGGGAACATGGAAGTTTAAATGACTGCAGCAGTGAAGAAGTCCTGAATACAGTTCTCATCCTAATGGCTGATCTTATCTCCCTTTTAGTTTCTGATGGGGAAAAAAGTTCCCTTTTGCTGAAGTTCAAGCTCAGTGTCTAGAGCCCTTGCCCTGTGCACCTGTTTGGATTACTGCTTATGTGCTTGTTTGGTGTTAACACCACTTCCTGGCTCCAGTCATGACTATAGTAGGAGCCCAAGCTTTGAATCGCTCCATGCCCATTTTTATAGTACCACTTTAACACTTCACATGTTATTACACCTCAAGATTAGTTTCTCAACTGCTTTGACTATAAGAGGACAGGCCAACAAAACCCACATTTTGACTAGAAATTTAACAGACCTGTTAAACTGAAGGCAAGAATGTACAGCCAGGATTAGGTAGAAAGTCACAGCTTCCTTCTCACTACAGGTTAAGACCTCTAAATCTTATCTCACGATCCCCTCTTTCTTTGGGGGGTCCTATCTTAGAGTTTTTCCCTAGAAAGCTAATTTAAGTGGTTATCTAGAGTTTGAAATAGCTCAGGACTATCTCAATAGGAGTTAAACTCTTGTCAAGGCAACAAAAAGACAAGAAACCTGGAAAGCAGGGGAGATCCTGGCACTACTACAACAATTCCAACTTCCATACTATTAATGTCTTGAAGTCACATACGGTATCCATCTTTAGTACAACTTTTCACATTACATAATCTAAAAAAGATTTTGTTTTTATTATGCTTAGTGGTGTAAATGCCTGATCAAATAGATTTCATCAAGCAATCAAAAGGGAACCACCTCTTTTGTTTCCACTCTTCAGAATTATGACCTTCCTCCAGGGAAATAAAGAGCTTGAAGTATACTATTTAATGTTAAACTTCCAGAAACATGCTGTGTCTTGATAGTTTGTTAAATAGTTTAAAGCATTCAAGCTTTTCTTTCTCCCTGTATGCATAACATTTTATATTGGTTCAGCATCCATACCCTGCATTACTGCATTAACCTGAGCTACACAAGTTTTTTAACACATTCTCTACCTGGAGTTGATCTGCTGTGAAGCTAGTCCGAGCTCTTTTTGCTGGTTTTGGATGATTAACATCTTGTTCCGTTAGTAATGCTCCTTCAACACTAATCCCATTTCCTGAAACATTGAAAAGAAAACAGCACTGCCTTCTGAACATTCACAGTGATGTTGTAAGTCAGACTGTTCTCCAACAATAATGAGCAGCAGTTGATCAGCTGAATTTCAGCTTTAAAAAAACCCATAATCTATTCAAAACTCCATTGATCTAGCATCATAAAACATTATGCCCTAAACAACTCCCTTGCGAGTGAGGGAAGAAATAAATCTAACATGATATTTTATCAACAGGATATGCTGTTACTTTCTTTTCCTTAGGATACAAAACAAGTTCTGCAGACTAAAAAAAACCAAACCAACAAACAACCCCCAAAAACAAACAAACCCCCACCAACATAATCCAAAGCAGCAAAACCAAAACAAAAAAACCCTGAATGTGAAATAATTTACCATTACTTTGATTCAAGTACCTGTGCTTCCAGTCTTAGTAAAACCAGCCAATTATCTCCCAGTATGGAAAACGAAGTAAACCCCAATAATTTAATTAAATCTGAACCACAAACATAGATCTTAATGCAAGCAGTATGGTACCATTTTCAACTTCTCTTTTCAAATTGTCCAACATGCAGTCGTAATGGACTCTGCAAAGGACTTTCTCCTCGACCAAAGCAAACTCCTCTCCAGTGGAGAGCTGTCTCTTGCAGGAGAAGCAGGCGAAGCAGGCCAGGTGGTACACGTTCCCTTTAGCCCGCCGCACCCAGTCGGTGGAGTGGATGTGCCGCCCGCAGCGGGAGCAGCGGGTGCCGTAGCGCCTGCAACGAGAACGGCAGCGAGGAAGCCGAGACACCCATTCGGGCAAAGCCAAGCTCCGGCAGGATTAGAGCTGACCGGGTTGTGGCAGCGCAGCTAGAGTCCACGGCATGACTGCATTGGCACTGCAAAAAAACCCAAACCAAACAAAAAACAAAACCAACAAAACCAAAAAAAAATCCCCCCAAACCCCAGCAATTTTCTGTATGATTGCTTAAGGCAAGACACTACTGAAATACAGAGGTTAGTATTTCCAGAAGGCAAAGAGCAAAACTGAAGCATTTTGACTGCTACAAGAATTCATAGCTTCTCATCGTTCCTTTTATAAAAATTATTACTCTTAAAAGCTGAAAGATGGAAACAGCATACTGTTCCAAAGTCTTCCTATTTTTAAAGAGCTGAAAGACGGAAATAGCGGACTGTTCAAAATTCTTCCAATTTTTCAAATGTATTTCACATTACTCTAGTGGTAGTCTGAACTAACATATTTAAGTAGATTATCCCTTTACTAATCTTTCAGCATTTCAACAGACAGGGGAAAACCTGCATCTTCATAGTTATTTCCTCAAGTCACATAACATCATGATTTTTAAATAAACAAAAAAAATCTGCATTATTACACTAGAAAATTTATCTTTGAAGAGGAAAGTAGCCACCAAAACATGTTGATTATTTAGATAAGAATTTGTCCCAAAGATCTTTGCAGACCAAAATTTTTTTCAGGTCCACAAATATAGTTTTTTTTCCAGAAGTTTACAGCATTCAGCTTGCCCCCTCCCACTCTGTGTCAAACTTGACTAGCTGGATGCAATCTATTCACTGCACAGCCAAGAATCCCAGAAATAGTTTGGTCTAGCAATCAACTAGAGAAGTACTAGCAATCGCATCAAAATTAACAGCAGCAATTTTTGCTGCTTTCTGGATCAGGGACTTTGCATCCTGGATACTACATTGCCAACACAAATAATATTCTCTCCCTTGCAAGATTAGCCTATAATTTTGAAACTGTCACATTCTAAATCAAACTGATCACAGAAAGGTATAACTGCTGGAAGCTTCTTTTAAATATAATGAGATTTATTCTGGGTTGATTATGTAGCTCCTTATGATGCCTTAAGCCCCACACCAGTGAAGCACTACTCCAAACAGATCATTTCAATTTTACATTGCATTCTCACTCAGCATTATCCAAGGATGATTCTTTACACATACAATGGCTTTACAACCGCATTGTGGTAGTGACTCTGACATTTTTTCCCCTCGGTGCATACATGAGTAAGTGATGATATAAATACAGCAGCTATGTGCAACAGGGGAAGGGCAGATTGGAGAGCAGGCAGTCACATTACACAGGCTTAGGGTTCTCCAAGTCTCTCCTCAAGAAAAATCAGAGTTTATACTGCTGAAAATAAACCTAGCAAATGAAAAAGAGCCTCAAGTGGATTTCAGTTGTGGCTGAAGTGAAAAGCAACAAGCAAGTATAACAAGTTATCTGATAAATTACATTCCTGGATGATATACCTGAAATAATCAAGTTTGCAGAAGATATCTTTATCTTTGATGTAGCAGCTGGTGTGCCTTCCCAGGGACGTTCTGCAAACGCTGCATGAGAGGCAGCGCACATGCCAGCAGAGGTCATTTACCTGCAAAAACCCAACAAAAAACCACCCCTCAATACCTGTACTACCAATATTGCATTTTATATTTACAAAATTTTTTTTTCAGAATTGAGCAAAAGTTTTATGCACCATGATTCACAGAAGAATTATCTTGAATGCAAGACATTTTCCCTACAGAACTGCATGTATATTGAAGGTAAATTAGTTTGAGTCTTCAGAATAAGCTTTCATGGATTTGTAATTAAAAGCAGTAGAAGCAGAAGCAAGAGATACAAGTTCTATGCAAGTGTTTCACACCCAGTTCTCTTCTCATAGCACTAGAGTAAGAGAGCAAGTTTTGGCCTTTTGTGACCTTGGAAAGCAACTAACTTACACACTTCTATTTCCTAGTCTTCATAAATTCCTAACAAAAACCAAATGTTGTCAAGTTATTTAAAATTTTAAAACATGAGTATTGAAGGGAAAAATGGTCTGTCAAATAGAAACACACCATGAACCACTCCTCCATTTGTCACGTTTCTATTAAAGCAGAATTGGTGAATGGCATCTGAGTTTCAAAACAGCAGCAGGTGTTTTAATAGCAAGTTCAATATTTCTTTAATATGTCCATAGCAGAACTAAACATAGTCATGGAATGCAGTAGAAATCAGCATTTTTGAAAACTTACATATAATTTTGGGGCATATAAAATAAATAAAATGAGAGCAATTATTTTCATTTCTGCTTTCTTATAAAAGGAACTCTTAATTGCACAGACATTGTGCATCACCTAAATAAATCATTTGACAACCAAATACTCCCAGTGACCACAAAAATTAAATAATAACCCTCTGGATAACCCTATACTGTATAGGAGGAATTCTGAAAACCAAAGAATGATTAAATTTAGAATTTTTTTTCCCACTGAGCCAATTTCTCATCTCATACCAAACAGCCCATATATTCCCTATGGAAAAGCAGATTTGAGGTAATCCAGAATATGCCTTTCATCAGAGCATGGCCAGACAAACCTCAGAGGAGGCAAGGCATGGACTCCAACACCCACGCTGGGATCACTCATTTCAGTCATTCTTCAGGCTGTAATATTGCAGTTTGCCCAATGCTTTCCTAACCCTTATCCTTGTTGGCAGCCACCTTCCCACATGCTGACAAGTTTACACCCCAATATACGAAGCTGTTGATAGTAGTTAATAGCTGTCACCAAACTCACCCTGCAGCCATCTGTCAGAAAGGCCGCAGAGCGGAGGGGCAGCGCTGAGCCAGACTGAGCCTGCCCTGCAGCCAGTGCTGCCGTGTCAAGGCTCCCTGGGCATCCCCAGGTCCGCACCAAGCCTCGGCACGCAGCTCTGCGCAACGTGAGCTGACATCCCAGCCATTCAGAGCCAACTACCTCTTCTTCGGAGATCAACGCTCTTCCGAAGAGCGGGACACCAGCAACTTCCGTGGTTGTCCCATTTAATGTCATTTGTCCGTGTTCTTACTTGTCAATTGACAGGGATAAAGCTGAAAGGTGTGCTGCTGTTGTACAGTAGCATGTCAGCATCGATTCCTCTCTGCTTACACAAGAAGCAGTAACAGCTAATTTAAACTCAAGGCTAAATAATTTATAGGTCTTTTGCTCCAAGTCCCGTTATCCTGGTTGTTCAGATAGGAGACAGCAGTGATCAGTAAACTAAACATGAATTGCCAAAACGTCATGGGAGCTAACAGAACTGAAATTGAGTTCAAGTCTGTTTTGTTCCTTGTCCACCCGCCTGTTCTGTGCCAGCCCAGGCTACTGCAAGGGGGACAGGGTCATCCGAACCGAACCAGGGATGCGCGGCAGCTCCTGCGTCAGCCCCATTTTAAGGGAACACTAGCCTCTACAGGCAATTTCGTTAAACCTCCTCAGCTCAACCAAGACCTAACCGGATGATTTATTAACACCACAGATGTGCTTCCAGGGGTGTCATCCGCTATCACTTTGCAACTATACAACAACTTTGTTTAAAGTTGATGGAATAAACCGACTTCTGCCGTTATCGTAACTCACATTTGAAAGGAAAGACCTAGAATCTGACCTAGAATAATTTTAACGGCTATAATGCAAATAAACTTTCCCCTCACCCCTCCCCCTGCAATAACACTTCATGTTTAAAGCCACTTGGTTTTGTTAGTTTGTTTTTAAATTATCTTACTCGGTTCTGATTTCTAAGACAAGAGAACTGCTCTGCACACACGCAGCTAGTTTTCTTCAAATATGTTAGTTAATCACCTTTTGCAGGAATAACTTATGCCATTTCTCAAGAGGCAATTTTGGCTTTCAGACTCACGACGTTCCCCCCAGACCTACTTCAGTAAAATGCAGGTCGCGCCGCCGCCGTCTAACCGAGAACGCGCGGGAGTCGCCGCGTCGGGACCCCCGTTCCCATTCGCTTCCCCGCTTCTCCCGGTGCGTCAGGAGCACGCAGCTCAGCACGAACAGCGTCACCCGAAACACCGACAGCAGCTAGGGTCCCCTCTCTGGCCCCAACACCGCGAACAAGTGCACTGGGACTCGGCACTCCCTCGTCCGTGGCAGCTCCGCGTTGTCCGGGGAGGGGAGGGCTGAGCCGTAGCGTAGGACGACCCGGAGGGCTGTACCCTCGGATCCCACTGGGCCCGGTTCCCCGAGGCTCTCCGAACACTACCGGCGACCCGGGTAGGCTCTGCCTAAGCGGGCCGCCTCCCGGCTTCAGCGGCAGGGGAAGTCACCAGACGAAGGGGGCTCCGGCTCGGGCGCCCTTACCTTGAGCAGGTACTTGTCCACAATCTCCAGGCCGCAGCTGCTGCAAACGCACTTGCCGGGGGCGCAGCCCGAGCCTGAGGCCATGGACCGCGGCGATGAGGAGGGCGACAGGGCAGCGGAGGAAGAGCAGGAGTCCTCGTCAGCTGTTGTGGGGCTGGCCTGCGGGAGCGCGGGGAGACCACGGTCAGCGCCCCGCCACGCTCAGGAGCTCCGCGCCGGCCCGGTCTGGCCCACCGACGCCCGTGGGTCCCGCCAGCTCTCACCAGGACTCTGGTGGCGGCCGCGGTGTCCGCGAGACGCGGCAGGAGCGCCACGGCCGAGGCCACCAGACCCGCCGGGCTACGCCAGGCGCCCGAGCCGCGCCGCCCCCCCGCCCGCGCACCTTCTCGGCCGGGCCCCCAAGCGCGGGCAAGTCCTTGTCCTCCAGCCTGCAGACGAACATCGGGTCACTCTTCCAATACATGGCCCTGCCCTACCACATACCAGCCCCCGGCGGGCGGCGAGCCGGCTCCGGGGACCCCGCGCCGGTCTCTGCTCTCAGCGCCTGCAGGAAAAAAGTTTTGTTTTCAAGTGGGTGGACCTGCCCCGCTGGCCTCACCTCCTGCACAGAACCCGCCTTCCCGCGCGGCGGGGCCGTTATCTCCACTAGCGAGCCCGTGAGGATTTAGTGAGGGGAGGAGGAACGGAACCCCCCTAACATCAACAACAAGAAAAAACAACCCCCCTGAGAACCCCCTCACTTCTCTTAATCTTTCGCCACAGCTTCCCCCCACCACCCCAGTCTAAGCACACGTTCTAGTTACATCTCCCTATCAGCGAAGAAAACAAACACGGAGGAAAGCAAGAACCAGTATGAGCGATTTTCCCACACTCCTAAATCCCAAACCCCAAGCGAATCCGGTAGTTTAAACTCACAGCTCCTCCATCTCTCTCACTACCTCACCTCCTGCTTGCACCTCCCGTAATAAAACCTTTCTCATTTAGCTAAAATAGAAGGACCTGAGCAGTAGAAGCGCTCCTCCGGCTCTAAGCTCCCACAGCTGCTGCTGATTAACACCGGTGTCCCGGTGGCACCGCGAACAGAGGGTGAGGAGGCCGACTGTCCCTCACTACCTGCAGAACCAGACGGCGTCTCTCCCTAGAGAGGTTGTGGCTTATGGGCACCCTTTCTCCACGATCACAAGTTTTGTCCGCAGAGTTCCCTCACACCAAGAACCATCGGGGTGCTCTCGGAACATTAGAGGAGAATAAAGCAGTAGTTTGTCCTTCGCAGGTGAGATAGATAACCGGGTATCTGCTTCTAGCCACGTGTTTAACCAGTCAGCTGCTTTTAATTAAACTCGTTGTTTAGTTTCCATATTTCCCCTCACCTCTGTGGTTAAGCCTCGACTCACTACGGATGCAGGACGTGCTGTTGAGCCTCAGTAAAGTGACCTGAGAGAATTGCCCCTACTTTTATAAACATGATGGATTTGATAAAAGGGAATTCTGCGTTTGAGGAGCTGTGTGGAGGGAAAAGCCCCGTACTGTTCTCCCTCTAAAAAAGATGATCGTTGTTTCAAATTCTGGGACCCAATCTTGCGGAACCGTAACTCGGCTGTGCCGAATCCTGGTACAGCCGGGACGTCCCGTCAATTATTCGTTTGTCCAGCGGTTTTAATCGATCTAACCATGGGCAGAATCTCGCTGACATCCAGTCTCGGTGTCCCTGACACCACTGCCTCAGCGAGGCAAGTAGGGCTTTGGGGTTTGCGGTGGCCGGTGACGTGGCTCGGCGCAGCGCGACTGACGCCCGGCCCGGCGTCCAGAGCACCGGGCGCCGGCAGGGACCACGGACAATGCCGGCCCCTGACCCAGCCCTGACCAGCACCTGTACTGACCCGGAGCCGGCTTTCTGGCGTCTCCCCCGAGGACCCGGGGTGTGCTCGCTCAAACTCCGACCCAAATGCGGCCCCCGATCCAGCCCGAGCACTCGCCCCACAGGCGACAGGCTGCGGCCCCACAGAGCGTCCGGTAACCGCACCTCGCCGCCGCGCTCTAGAGGCCCCCGCAACAGGGTCCCCCTTGGGCTCTGCTCCCTGTCCGCAGCAGTGCAGGTCGGGGTGCCAGCGGCCGAGTGCTCGGGCGGCCCCGCGGGTCGCGGCGGGGTGGAGCGGAGCGGAGCGTTCGGCTCGGAGCAGGACCAGCGCGGATCCTGCCGAGCCCCCATCCTGCCCCCCACGCGGATCTCCCCATCCGTTACCGACAGAGGCACGACAGCACTACTATCGTCTGTCGCAGGTAGCACGACAGAAAATGAGCACCTGGCGGGGGGCTCCGAGGGCTGCGTTGTGGCGGGGCCGGGCCACCGTGATGAGAGCCCGTGGTGAACTCGGGCGCGGCGGATCGGGCACGGCCGGGAGCAGCGTCAGGGCTGTTGATCGTCTTTGCTTTTCCTGCGCCTTCAACGAGATAATTAATGAGGTTGGTGCGCGCTCCAAGAAGGGCTGCAGGTTAGATTTCTATGGAACAAGTCCCTTCCTATGCGCCTTTTCTCTCTGGAAATACAGCGGTAGGAGTCAACAAAGTAAATCTGCGCGTTGTTTCCCGCGGCGATCGGCGATTACAAGCAGCGGTAATTCATACTGCGGTGTCGGAGGAAAACCAGCGTGAGGGAGATCTCCGTGTTTCGTACCGTGTCCGGAGCCGGCTCCGCCAGGTGACGAGCGGGCGCGGCTGCACTGGCCGCCCGGGCTCTCCGCCCGCCCCGAGGCTTCGGGGCAGCCCCGCGCAGCGCGAGGGTCTCAGCAGAGGCGGGGCAGGGGACGCGCTGCGGGGCGCGGTGCTTGGCGGGGCTCACCCAGGGCCTCTGCGATGGCTGCGCGGAGTCGCAGACTGGGTCGGCCACCCCGGGGCGCGGGAGGTTCGGGGAGTCAGAAAGAAAACACGCCCAGAGAACAGTCCGTCAGCAGATCTGGGTTATTGTTATGGCCGGAGTGGCTTCGCAAGAGGTGAGCGGTTTTGCCGAGCTAATTGGAAAGAGGCGTTATTTCTGAGAAACGGTCAGAAACGCGATAACGTGTACGGGGAGGACGTGGGAAGTATATGGCTTGGTTATCCGGGATACACTTTGGGCCGTGCACCTTTATCACCCATCTTTCCGAAGTCCAGTCTAAACTTCATCGCTTAAATTACATGCCCTCGATATTTTAGTGAATATTTCCTGTATCGTTTTCTGAAGAGATGGAAATGGGCAGACACGCAGGCTCTAGAGAATTCCCGATTCTTGCGCACCCTGTTCTCCCACTGCCATCTCTGTGCACATCGGAGGATGTGTCCTCCTTTGTGGCGCCGGGTAGGACCCCTCGGCGGGTCGTCGCGGTCTCGGCAGAGACGGGAGGGAAGGGGAAACTGCCGGCGGTGGGCAGGGTGGCCCTGGCCTGATCCTGCTGAGGCTGAGAGCGGAGAAGAGCGAGGGACTCCAGCGGAACCCTCCGACGGGGTCTGTATCTGGTTCTGCTTCCCCTGTCTCAGGAGTTATACCAGGATGTTTGTAGGTGGGAGCGCTGACCACATAGCACATAGGAAAGATCTCTTAAATATTTGACGATACGCTACAGCACGAAGAAAATACTGAACGCGGAGAATTAGGGCTGTTTTAACGAGAGGGTGTTGGCACATGGACTCCTTCATCAGAGACTGCACCGTGCTGCAAGTGCATGCAGCTGGGTGCTTCTCCCTTGAGTCCTCTTCAGCGACACCGGTTCTCCCGTTAAAACAAATGCTGTAAGAAATTAATACCACCACTGTGGTCAGCTTACGAAAAACGGGCACCGAGGCCAGGGCCACGGTAAACCGGGTGCTCAGCCCCGGCCGGTGCCGCTGGGCATGGCGCTGTCGGTGCCCGAGCCGCGCATCCCAGCGCCCGCCCGGCGGGTCCCTCCGCGCTGCCGGCGGGACGGGCGCGTCGCAGGACTGGGGGACCGCGGGGAAGCACCGTCCTCTGGAGCAGAGCGCCACCCCATGTCCCCCCAGTAGCTGCTGGCAGGAGAGCTCGGAGAAGCGGGACGGCTCAGAGAGGGAAGCCCGACACCCTCGGGACAAGATTCTCTTCCCCGGAAGCTCCCCTTGTCTTGTCTCAAACATCTCTTTGCACTACTTGGGTGTTTGTACACTTGCAAGTATCCAGAGGTTTTTCATCTGTAGATAGCCGTGTCTTGGGCTGTGGAACCTCTGTGGGTTGTGGAAGAAAGAACCGAGTCAACGCCCTCAGGCTTGCTCTCTGTGAGTTTGCACCCCCACTGATCCCAGCCAGTGGTAAAAGATGCAGGGTTTGGACTAGCCCTGAATAATTGACTCTGGACTGATTTAACGGGAAGGAAACGAACCCAGTCTCTTACCAGTGACTCGTTTACCAAATCAATACAATGCACTTTCCTTGGGTCGGGCTGTCTGTCTCCGGTTTGCGGGTCTAGGATCTTTCAGGGCTGCAGACAGGAGCTTTTGTTCACGGCTCTTCTAGTGTAGAGTTCTCTGGTACTTAGTTGTGAGTGGCAAGATCAAGCAAAGGAAACTGTATTCCTGAGTCTGGTGTTCCCCGACCAAGAACTTGTTGCAATCCATTTTTTTTTTTTAAACTTTTTTTTCCTTCCCTTCAAGAGGGGTCTGGGCGGGGAGACAGATGGCAAGAAAGTAATCAGTGAGATGCAGCCCTGCATGTTTTTAGAGCGCTGGCCCTTGCACTGAGACCAGAAGTGCAGGGAGTAGTTTCGACATACTAGTGTGGATCTTCATTTATTTCAACTCTTGGTCGCTGCACTCTGGACATACTATCTGGATGAAAGCCATGCCTGTTCAAATCAAGTGTTGCATCCCTGCGTTCCTGAAATCGCGGTGAACACTTGATGTACAAGTTGACTTTTTAAGCCTCTCTGCTAATTGTGTCACGCTGTCACTCAGGGAAAGTGCTGGGGACAGAGGAAATTAGGGCAGCGATCAGATTATGCAAAAGCATTTTGCCCCTAACGTAATGGAAGGCAAAGACAAACTGGAAACCATGGCGGGTTGTTTATATACACACAGGCACAACATTGTAAGGATGTCCTGGTATCGGTGAGGGCCCGAAAGACATCGGGTCTGCCTGCCTTATTCCTTTCGCTTCTATTCATGCGATGAATAATCACTCTCTGGAGGAGACCCGGGTCGTCAGGAGGGATAGCCTGTGCGGGGGAGGCCGGAGCCCGGGGGCTACAGTACGCTCGGAAGGTTTTCGGCTCCTTCGGCTGTCCTCCGTACGGAAGCCCCTCCCTGGACGGCCTTTGGGAAACACCCGAGGGGTGCGGCAGTAGGAGAGCTTCCCTAGGAGTTATCTCTGCTCCCCGCAGGCTGTACAGCTGCTCCGAGGGTCCCTCCGCCGGAGCCGCACCCGGCTGGGGTCAGTGCCACCGACGCACCCGTCTGCCCGTTCTGCAGCTTGCCCCGCAGGACACCGCGCGGCCCGGGGAAGGGGGTAGGCTGCTCCGGGGCCGGCGCAGGTATTGTGGAAGCCCTGTACTCTCCCAGCTGCCCCGCGGAACCCTTTCCCGGTGGGTCCGGAGTCGCGCCCGACGGCGGCGCGGTTAGCGTGTCCGGCTGAGCGCGATCTCCGCGGCGTGCGGGATCAGCCGCGGTTGCGGGAGCGGCTCGATGCGCACCTGGGCTTGTGCCGGGCAGAGCGGGCGGGCAGCCGCGGCGCCCGGGAGGACAAACCCGGCCGCAGCCTGCTCCTGGCCCCACTGGCGATTGTCCCCGAGAGGAGGGACTCGAGCCGGCCCTGGATTTGGCAAAGACGAGGGGTAGCCGTGCAGCGGAGGCTGCAAGTACCCTCGGAGGAGGCTGCCTTGGGCTCCGAGGCACGCTGCTGGGTGTCAGCCCCCGCCGAGGGGGCACAGGCAGCCACCATTGTGAGGAATTACAGCTTCCTTCCCCACAGAACAGCAAATGCTTTTCAGAGAAAAAAACAGAGTTTCAGGGTAGTTCCATTTTTCAAATTCTTCCCCAGCCAATTTGTGACTGCGTGTTTATATAGTGTTGTGTCTGTATTAAAGTGAAAATATCTGTTAAAAATCGAGCACATTTGGGACTAGCGAGCTAAGCTCTTCTGTTTAGTAAATGGGCAAATTGGAAAGGGAGATAACGAAAGAAAGGTGATTCATTCATACCAGTTCTGAAAACCACAGAGAGCCTCCAGAAATGAGATTCTTGTTTGCTGGCCACAGGTTACAATTGATGAAATGTTTGCATGTGCCTACAAGTAAATCAAGATTTACAGTTATGCAACTGCTGTTTACAAAGTGCTACTTTAATACTCTGAAATAAAATACATTTATTTGGAAAGGGCAGAGACTGCAGGTTTTAAGTAGCAAGAAGTGCAGTGTTCTAAGTAGAAATGAGAAACCTTATTATTTTTGGTGCTTATATTTTTTAAACTGGTATGACAACATTAACTCTCGACTGACACAGAACTGAATGGGGAAATTTTAGCTGGTGCCAGAGTGATGTTGATCTGGATCTTTTATTGAGTTTAGTGCCTGAAAGCATTCCAGTGCTTTTGGGCAGGTGACAAAATGGGGAAAATGTCGTGTTAAGTTTAACACAACTACATCTGTCAACCTGCTTGGTTTGAGCTGTTTTCTGAGTTTAATTAACCTGTTTACACAGGAAAAGACACTGGTCAGGGTTTTAAACACATCTTTCATCTATAAGCACATGGTGGCTGTACAAAAAATCATTGTTTTGTGGTACCTTGGTTATAATTATGGAAATCTGGATTCAGCCCTATTCCTGCTGCAGTCAGCAGCGCCCCAGCAATCATGTCTTTGCTTTTGAAGTACATCAAGGATAAGTTTCACTGAGCATATGTAAAAAAAAAAAAAAAAAAAGTGTAACTGAAGAGGCTGATTACTTAAGCAGCATGTTAACAACACAGTCTTGTTCACCCCACTGGTCTACACAAAACTACTCATCACATTTTTGGGGCCCAGGAGATGCTGTGCTCTCATTATGCACTTTAGGTACACTTTATACTCTACAACAAAAGTTGACAGAAAATGAGCTTTTTTTACTGGTCATCTAAGATAATCTTCTGTTTGTTGCTTTAGCTTGAGATTGCAGAAGGACAAGAGAGTGACAGAAGGAACCACTAATTTTGAAAGCAACTGTTTGTTTTAATATATACAAGGAACACTTGTTGAGATGAGTTACCTCTGGCTGATTACCTGCAAAAAGGCTTGCATATAGTAGCACTTCATTGTTTAATGTTTTGCTATTCCTTGGTGCCAATCCTAATGCTGGTGCTTGAGCAGGAGAAAAATTATTTCATCAACTCTCAGGGAAAGAAAGTTTGATGGATGAAAGAAAACTTAGAATTCAGTGAAACAATGACTTGCCATCAAGGTTATACAGGCTATAATATGGAGTCTACTGGTCTATTGTAAATATCCAAACACTTACATCCTCTTCAATCAGCCCCTGGTGACACTGAGAGGCAGATTTACAACACAAAATATGCAATGGGTCCATGCTCAGCGCTTTTTGTCACTTCCACAAAAGTGAAGCCCTTACATTGCCATGCTCCTGTCCACTGAAAGTCTCCCAGTGTGTGGAGCCCAGTCGGCTGGAGGCCAGGGGAAAGTGGAAAGACAACTCCATGAATGCCTGCCGGCTTTGTGCTTGTCACAGCAGCTGTGAGGTCATCAGGGTCTGTCTGGTTTTGCCTCCCAGGGGGCTGCAAGCAGAGTGGGAGACATGGCCCCTCTCTTCCTTGTTTACTGATTATATTCTACAATGTTTCTTGCTATATTTCTACTTTTACTGCAGAAACATGCACTTTCTGGTGAGACAAAATCATAGTTCAGAAATGGAAATTGCATTTATCCTGTCTTCACTGCAGTTCATACCAGTGTTTTGAGGGATTTTCATACTAGTGTTTGATTGTTCCCTATGTTCTCATGATGCTGCTTTATGTCTGAATGTTGGTGTAAAATGGGATATGAATGATCCCATAGGAAGTATTTCAGAATGCTGAATCTCTCCAGGGGTACAAG